TATAGTAAATAGGATTATAACTATAGTAGAGTTAAACTAGCTCCTACCTAATAGCTAGATAGGGAATAGGTAAAAGAGGTTAACTAAGATTACTATTACTATAATTTTAGAAATAGTTAGATTAATATAGGCCTAAGGTAGTACTATATTATTACTATAGCTAGATATTATTAGTACCTTTAATAATATTAATTATAACCTCCTTATTTAGATATTCTAATAGTAGGGTTTTTTAGCTAAAGTACTAAGCCTAATATAGTCCTTTTTAGCTAATAGGTTAGCCTAATTAAGGCTTAATAGTAGCTTAATATAGGCTAGGTTAGTTCTTTAAGGGGTGCCTTAAGGATTACTATTTTTATTAATTCTTTTTATTCTTTTTACTAGCTTACTATATACTACCTTTAAGATAGTACTAGGCCTAATAATAGTTAGGTTTATAAATAATATTAACCTACTTAGTATTAAACTAAATATAAATATAGTAATCTTATAGCTAGAATAAAGATAGAAAATATATAGGGAGTAGTTAAAGATTAATAACTTATAATTCTCTATATTAAAGTTTAGTCTTATATACTTTTAGTATAGCTAAGGCCTAGACCTAGGCCTAATCTAGCTTAATAATATATTAGTTTACTTAAAATAGAAAACCTAACTCCTTAAAGTCTAGCTAATATTAAGCCTAAGGTAAAAAAAATAACTCTAAGTAGTTAAGAATTAAGTAGTAAAAGTAGCCTAAGCTTTAAGTATAACTATTAAGAAAGCCTAGGGGCCTAAGGTTAAAAATATATAAAAACTATACTTCTAAGGTATTAGGCTTATTATAATATTTAGTCTAGCTAGTTAGTATATACTAGGGAAGGATAAGGTAGTAGGCCTAGCCTAAACCCTATATAACCTCTAAGTATAATACTTATAACTAGTTATAAGGGTATTTAAAGCTACCTTAACTTACTATATTAAAGAAGCTTTAAAGGTCCTTCTAATTAACCTTTACTTAATAACTAAAAAGTGCTAAATACTAATAAGGTAGGAGGTAAGTAAGGTAGTAGCCTAGCTCTAGTATATATCTACCTAGGTAATTAAAGTAATCTTAATAGTAGTAAAGAGGCTAAGGTAATAGTAATAATATAGGTAGTAATAACTATAATAATAAATAAGACTACTATTAGCTAACCTATATAAAAGCCTCCTAAGTAAGTCTAAGAGGGCCTTAGAGTAAGACTAAAAAATACTTAATAAATAGTTATAAGATAGATTAATAATAAGGTAAGAAGTAAATAAGTTAGCTAAATAATACTATACTAAATAGGTTATAATCTACCTTACTTATAAGCTATTATAGCTCTAATACCTTACCTAGATAGTTTTATTCCTATTTATACTTAAGTATATTAGTTCTATTATTATATAAATATATATAAAGAAGATTAGGCTTAATACTTTTTTTTATAAATAATATATTCCTAATTATAAGTTAAGCCTATACTATTATAAGGAAAGGCTAGAAGATATTTATTATATCCTATTAAGTTATACTATATACTAAACTAGGCCTAAGCTATTAAAAGGGTAACTTTAAAATAGGTAAAATATACTATTAATATTAAACTACCTAAGGGATTTAATAACTATTACTAAATAGTTATACTTATAAGGTTAACTAATATATATCTAAACCTTATCTAGGTTAATACTAAACTAAGGTTAGGTTAGGTATAGTATAATAATAATATAGGTATATAGTAAGATAAGAATAGACTAAGTATATATTAATATTAATTTAGTATAGGTATAAAAAGTAATTAACTTTTAATTTTAAAATTTAGTAAATTAGGCTATTAGCTTACTCTTACCTTAGTATAGCCTAAACCTAGTATTAACCTAACTTTACCCCTTTTCCTAAGTATAAAATAAAAGATTTAAAAAAATAAGTATAGCCTAAGCTAAGCTTAATACTATTTTAACTTTATTACTTTTAATAAGCTAAAAAAATATATAGAAAACTAAAAATAATTTTAAATAGGTATAGCCTAGGCTAGGCTTAGTACTACCCTTCCTTACCTTCTCTTTCTTTTACTCCTTCTTCTCCTTCTTACCCTCCTCCCCCTTAGTTAAGGTAGTTAAGTCTAAGCCCTTATCTAGCCTAGGCTTAGGTATAGTTACCCCCTAGGCCTTTAAGGTAGCTATAATAACCTAGAGTAGGCTAACTAAGGTATATTACTACTAAGCTAGCTAGTAAGCTACTTTAGCCTTAGCCTAGTCTAGGTATACTAGTACCTTAGTATTAGTATAAATAGTTATAGCTAAGGCTAGGTTATAACTAGTAAGGGTTAGTATAACTATAATCTAGGCTAGATTAGTTATACTTTAAATATAGTAGGTATTACCTTTAGTATTTATACTATTAGCTTAGTTATAAGTATAATAAATAGCTACTATTAAATAACTAAACTTAATATTACTTAAGCTTAAAGTTAGACTATCCTTAATATAAGTTAAGAGTTAATTTTAAATAGTAATAGCTATAAGCTTAATACTATTAATAAGCTATTAATAAGTTAATTAAGATTAAACTTAATTAAGCTTTAGATTAGAATTAAAGAGATTTACTAGTATATAAACTTTATTATTTTTTATATATTTAGTATATATAAATATATTAAGATTTAGAACTAGATTAAGATAAAAGCCTTCTTAGTATAATACTAGGATACTTACTAGCCTACTTAAAGTAAATAATAGTATTAATATTACCTATATACTTAAGATACTAGCTATAAAGGATTAGTACTAGCTTACTTATAATAATAACCTAGTATAAGTACTTAGTAAGGTAATAAGGGGGTAAAAAGGGTAGTTAGCTAGATTAATACTAAAATAGAGGTAGATAATAGATAGGTAAAAGTTACTTATATTATTAATAGTAATAATAATAATATTAAACTAATAAGGTTAAAAATAAGATAAGACTAGGTATATACTAAGGATAAGATAACTTATTATAATAGTAATAATAGTAATAATTAAAAAATTTTATTTTTCTAAGAAGTATTAATAATATTAAAATAAGGCTAAAGGTAGCCTAAGTATAATTTAAAAAGGTATATAAAGATAAGAAGGAAGGGAGTATATAAATATAATAATAATAGTAATAAGAAACTAATAAAGAGGAGAGTTAATATAGTTTAGTAGTTAGAGTAGGAAAGGCTTAGCTTAAATAGGGGTAAAGGTAATAGTAAGGTATAGTATATATATTAAAGGTAAGGAAGATATATAATTATATATTATTAAGAAAGAAAGGAAAAGAGTAAAAATTAAGAAATTTAAGGCTTTTTAAATATTATAGTAAATAGGCTAACTAGCTAGGTAGTAAGCTAAAAATAATAATAATTAAATATATATAATTATAACTCCTTCCTTACCTAGTATAGTAAATATAGTAGATTATATAAAGGCTAATATTAATCTAGGGGCTTTAAAGGGGTATAAGGATATAAATAAAGTAATTATAAAGTAAGAAATAAAAATAAGTATAAAAGTATATAAAAGTAAAAAAGTAATAAAGCTATCTTAACTAGTCTTAATATAAATAAGGCCTTATAAAGGGTAAGGTTTTTACCTATTTAGTATAAATAATATAGAAAATAGACTATAGAAGCTAAAAAAAAGAATAATAAAGGTAGATATTATAGCCTTTATAGTTATTACTATACTTATTTATACTTTAAAGTATCTAGGGATTAAGATTTAGAAAGGACCTTAACTATATATAGTACCTAGCCTAGGCTAGGATAGGGCTATAAGGAGAGGAGGTTAAAGGGGTTAAGTAGGGGATAGGTAGGTCTATTAGCCTACTAAGTTTTATATATTTATACCTATTATTATTATTTTTTACTAAGATAAGGAGTATATTACTCCCTATTAGGAATTACTCTAGGATTATATTAAACCTATACTAGAGCTAGGGTTTTTCCTCTAGGTACTCTAGTTTTTTCCCTATCTTATAAGCTATAAAGGTATTAGATAGATTAGCTAGTCTAATTAAGGTAATATAATAATAATAATAATATAATTATATAAAATAATAATATAATTAATATAGCTTATAAAAGAATAATAGAAAGTAAAGATAATAAAGAAAATTAGCCTTATATTAAATAAAACTATAAGGGATAACTAGTTAATTTATATATTTTATTTCTTAGCTTTAGGCTATATAATTTAAGTTATAAGATAATACTATATCTTAGGATACTTAAGGTTATTACTTATCTATACTTATTATTAGTATAGATAAGATAAGCTCTCTTATCGAGGCAGTGCTCTGTGCGATATTATAGAAGGGAGAGACCAGACAAAACATCTGCAGATTTATATCAAGAAGGAGTAAAGCTCCTTTATGCGACAATTGTCTCTTCCAAGTCAACGGTCATAGTGAACCCGCATGGCGGAGTGATTGGCTCAGAGACAACGAGAGGCGCTGGTGCTGCTAAGACGGCAAATCTAGCTGTGAGATGGTGTATGGAATGGCACTGGGTACAGGAGCAGCAGCTGAAAGTGGCCTCTGATACCTAGGTATATGGCTACTAAAATATTGGGGTAAAATAGATGTGCAAAGTGTGTTTCGTCTTTTCGCAGGGTCGTCAGTAAGCTGATATTCAATGTGATTCACCTGCGCGCAACGGCTAGCATTTGTTTTGAATGAAGGCTGAGGAGGGGGTTTCCCTTTTCGAAACATATTGACAGATTTTTTTCCAAGAAAAGAAAAAAGACAAAGAGAGTAACTACTACTTTGAAATCAACTTGGAACTAAGCGGGATATTGTCAATCGCTGTATGGAGGGTAGAACAAAGACTTCAGTCATTGGAGAACAAAGTCATGTACCATTTATGCGACTATTCCGCAAAAGTGTACATATGCAAGTACCCAGTCTTCCGGACGATGAACCACTGCCGGCAAATTGTTTTTCCGAAAGCAGTCACATTGCCGATTTCTACATGAAAAAAAACCCATCTCACCCACCCCACGACAACAGCCCCAAGCGCAGCCCTCACTTGCCCTGCACAACTTCATCCTCTCTAGCCGCCCACAACGACTTCCTACCTCCCTCCCGATCGCGAGGCGACTATTCGAATCGCCAGAGCTGCATCTGTCGCATTAGCCTCCTTACTTTGCATCTTACGACCTCGCCGCATCTCCGCGCACGATTAGTACACACCAGTCCGCGCTGGTTTTTGGTCAAGTCGCGTTTGGCAATCGAAAATACTCCCTTTGTTTGAACGTGTAGGACTAGAACTTATCGCGAGCTCCAACCTTTTTTCTCCGTCCGTTCGCCGTTCGCTGTATAACCTAAGGTGCCCAGTGCTCGCGGCCAATCTTTGTCCTCTACCGCTGTGTGATCTCTTGCATGACATCTGCTTCAGTCGTACCACTACTAGTTTGCCGCTTCTTCTCCGCCCACACTCTTCTCAACCGTACCCCTCTCCTCTCTTCCTCTGGCATCGCTTGATACGCCTCATATTCGCACCGCAATAATGGCCGAGCCCCAGCCTGACATTCAGAGTATCCTCGCGGCTCTTGGTGAGAAACTATCTATGCGCCCAAGTGCCCGTCCTCATGCTGACTGTGATTTCTTTTCTCTTGTTCCAGCCTCTCAACGACCCGCCGGCGCGACCCCTACACAGACGCCCTCAGCCGCTCCAGGCCAATCGTACGCTCCTCCTCCAGGTGCAGCTCAGGCTGGCTATGGCGCACCTGCTCAGCAGGGCATGCCCGCGCCTGCGGCCTCTGGCAGCGTCGATTTGAGCGCCATCCGCCCAGTGAACTCGGGTACCGTGAGTTTTGATGACGTGCTCTCCAAAGCCCGTGCCTTTGCCGCCGCCAAAGGAGTTGCCTCCTATGACCAGCCCCTCGTGTATGGCGCCGAATCCAGAGACGCGGACCAGCCATACGGACGCCCCCGATCACGGTCTCCTCAGCGTGATCATCAAAACGATCGCCGGGGTGGTCACGGCCGCGAATATGGCCGAGAACGTTCCTGGTCCCCTCCGCGCGAGAGACATTCTCCTCGTAGTGGCAGAGGTCGCGACCGATCGCCGCTCCGCTCTGGAGGAGGTGGCGACGAGAACTCGGAGACTATACAGATTGAATCGAGCCTCGTCGGTCTCATCATTGGTCGCAATGGTGAGAATCTGCGTAGAATTGAAAGTGAATCAAGCTGCCGTGTACAATTCCTTTCTCCTACCGATGGTGGTCCTTTCCGCCAGTGCAGAATCACTGGTCCTGCTCCGCGCCGCAGCGAGGTCAAGGACGCCATCAACCGCATTATCGAGGATAGCGGTATGGGCGCGCTGAACCGTGCTGAAGAAAAACCCACCGTGCAAGGCGCCGCTACCGTACTGCGTGATGGCGAGGACCACATGCAAATCATGGTTCCTGACCGCACTGTCGGCCTCATTATTGGCCGCGGCGGTGAGACGATTCGCGACCTCCAGGAGCGGTCAGGCTGTCATATCAACATCGTACACGAGTCTAAGAGCGTTAATGGTCTGCGACCTGTCAATTTGATTGGTACCCCGGTGGCCACCGCCCGTGCCAAAGACTTCATCCTTGAAATCGTCGATAGTGATAGCCGTGCTGACGCACAAGGTGGTCCTCCCGGCGGTCCCAAGCCTCCTCCTATGCCGCGCGGCGGCGGCGGCGGCGGAGGTGGCCAGTCTCGTGACCACAACCAGCACAGCAATCCCTACGACGGACCCGGCAAGGTCACTGATGCCATCTATGTCCCGTCTGACGCGGTCGGTATGATTATCGGCAAGGGAGGCGAAACTATTCGCGAGATCCAGTCCCAGGCCGAATGCAAGATCAATGTGGCGCAGTCGTCTGGACCGGGCGAAGTGCAGCGCGAGATTTCGCTGGTTGGCGCACCCGCGAGCATTGAGCGCGCAAAACAGCTGATTGACGAAAAGGTGGAAGCAATGGTAAGTGTCCAGCATCTGCTGCGTGTTGTCATGGAAGTAGTTTGCTGACAAATCGATAGAAGCAGAAGAACGCAGGAGGTGGCGGCAGAGGCGGCCGTGATCGCCATGACGGCGGGGGTCGCGGTGGCCACGACGTCGGAGGCCGCGGTGGTCATCACGAGCGCGGACAGGGTGACCGAGGCGGAAACAACTACGCGCAGGCGTCAACTACTAACGCACCGCAGCAAGGCGCTTCAGGTGATGCCGCAGATCCATACGCACAGTGTACGTGGTTTCCTTGCCGTTTCCAGCTCGACATGATGTACTAACGAAAGAATTTGCAGACGGTGGTTATCAAAACTACGTGAACCTTTGGTATCAGTCATTGATGTACCAGCAACAGCAACAAGGCGGAGGAGATGGCACCCCGCCGGCCGGAGCGCCGCCGAAATGAGCGTTCCTTGTGAAGCCCTTTTCTTTTTGTTGAACCGCCTGTATATGATTTGAACGCGTGCGCCTACACCTGGGCTATTTTGTGAAAATGATATCCCGCCCAGGACTGGACTCTTCCTTGAACCACCACCCCCGGACCGTTTTTGATACCATTCCATTTTGCTAGGACCGCGGAAGTCCTCTTTTGATATCTGGATGCTGTACCTGGCCGTTTCTTCCATTTATGCATACCATTTTGTTACCAGCGGTCGTGTCGCGTGCTGCTGCACCTGGTTTCTGTGTGTATGTTTTTTTTTTACGTGCCGGAGCCGGCGTGCTTGCTCCAGTCCATGGGATGCTGTACTTGAATGTGCAAGCGTTGTTGCCTTGATCTGCTTTGCCCGATGCCGACTCTTTTGGATGCCCCCTCGTCGAATGCCTACTCTGCCTGTCCGGATTGGGATCCCTGTTCCAGTGTTCTTTGCTCGTACCCTTTAGGCCAACTTGCATCTAGGAATCGTGACAGTACACTGGAACCAGTTGATATACCGCGTTTCTATGGAATACGTTTTTCGTTGGTGCCGTGAGCCTATGCGACAGCGTTGAGTTGCCGCGTCTCTCTATTGGGACACGCTTGCAAAAGGTGGGAGCGTTCTCCGACCGCCGGCTCTGGGGGGTTTGTCCCCTTGTCTACTATTCTCATGCCTTTGTTTTTGGACTCGTTGCGACTTGTCTTTTTTTGCATTGTAATGCTGCTGTTGGTCGGATGGGAGGGAAAAGAAAAAAATGACGAATACAATTTTGGTGTCCATGTCCAAGGGATATACATGCAGGAAAGTTGGAAGAATGGGGAATGTATTGATGTATTGTTTTACTTTATTCAAGACAGTTAGAAGGACGTGAGAAGAAGAAGAAGAGGAGGAAGAAAACGAGGAAGAAGAAGCCAGGCAGGAATATACGATCAAGTTCTGTCCACGCCTGACCGCCCTCCCCGCATTAGAAAACCTCCCGACTTCCTTTGCGCCGAACCCCGGAACCCTGCTTTGCCCCAGTGCCGTGACCAGTGCATGATGCGACTTGAACGTGTAAAGCTGGGATAACTACTCCTTGGCTCGTCACTGACAAAGGATGTACGCTTAAAGTCTACTTCCTTTTTTTTCTTCCTTTTTTTTTTCGTTGGTAGAGCGTAGAGGACATGGCCAACGCCGAGCCTACAAGAAGTCCGTCATCGGCCGCCGTTCGCATGACCCTATGACGTGACAGGGAGGCAAAAAAAAAAGGCCTTCCAAATGAGCTGCAGTTTGCCAGCATAATAATAACTACAGAAAAGGTTGGCATTGTACCTGCACTGATAACTATTAGTAGTAGTTTATGTCCGCTTTGTCATTTATTTACGTTTGATACACCCCCCCCGCCGCGGCCCCCTCCCCCACCTCCGAAACACACAATGGGCAAAAAGCAACAAGAGGAAAAAGCCGTTGGAGGGAGGGCTTGGCAGCAAACACGTTGTTCCACTGTTGATCAGCGGGCGGGGATGCGGATTGGAATGTCGCGTAGAAGATTCCATCATACGAAATTGATTAAATTATATTAGAGACTTACTTGTGTCTTTGCTCCCCACTCCTTCAGAAATCACCTGTTTGGCAGACAGACATGGGACGACTTTTCTGTTCGCTCTGCTGAAAAAACGCATCAAGGTCAGGCAGAGGGCACGTCCCTGGTCATATCTGTTCATAGGAGGCAACTCCTTTGGCGGCGGCAAAGAAGCTTTTGCGAGGGTTAAAAAAAAAACCAGGGACAGCGTTGCATGAATGTTTCGACACTCGGTAGTTGAAGGTTAGTTATTAGGCGAGCTGCAAGGTCTTTGCCTGTCCTGCTAACTATAGGTACCTAATCAACGTCAAAGGGCATCATGCCCCGAGCAACTCTATATCTGTTGTCATAACGCTCCTCCCCCGCCCTCGCTACGACAATGCCCAATTTTGCCCATCTTAATAAAAGCACTCGATAGTAATAAATACAAGGCTGTCAGTCTGCACATGTGCCTCGGATTCTCACTGCTCAGTCGGGCGTTTCTTCAAACTCGGACCATTTCCCATCCTCCTCTTCCCACCCTCCTCCTGCACCGCAGAACCTTAATATGCCCATCGCGAATCGCACACTGCGAACAAGGCTCGCGTCATCCCATCCCGGATATCCTTTGACTGGCACTGGCTAGAGCCTTCGCGTTGAAGCCGACACCTGATTCTTGGAGACTGCTGTGCTGTGCTGTGCTGTGTTGTGCGGTAGCCGAGGGCGTTGCGCTTGAAAGTAGCCTTTTGCTCTTGATAGCTTCGTCATGCGCCCCATCTTGAACTCGGACAAGTCCCGCAACTCGTCAAAGGGGGCTTGTTCTTGACCATTGTTTTGTTCCCGTCGCAGAGCATTGCCCACTCTACTCACAACGAGAACGGACGACGCCTGGCTGTAGCTATCTGCCGCTCAGGATTGTACTGTGCTGGAGCCTTTGAAAGACGTGTAGTTATGCTGCAATGCCGTCGTCTATTGCACGCAGTGTAGGTAGTTCCGAGCAGTGTCATTCCGAGGCTACACAGCACTAGTGAGTTAACAAGTGTGTTCCTCGGAAGGCTAAGTGAGGCGCCTCCTTCAGCCACCTGCCAATTGCCCGCCGCGACTCTCAGTCAGTTGACATGTTTGAAGCGCCGTTAGATCTTGGCCGAGACGCCTTCACCGGCCGAATCGGTCCTCTGGCACTCTGGCAGCTTATTCCCACCATCATGCGCTCACTTTTCTCCCACCAGGAGAATAGTATGTACTGGCCTTTTTGTTGCCTCGTAATTCGACCAACCGGCCGTGCGTCGTACATCATTTGTTGGTGTGCATCGCACACATGTCTTGGACTCGGAACAGAGCAGCCCGCGCATCGTAGACCTGAAGCCAACGGTGCTCGGAGGGAGTATGTAGAATAGCCCCGATCTACAAAGGGGGCGAAAACCTTTGGGTAACACGGGACAAGCCTGTATTACCAGGAGTCATGCCGTGCTACTAGCACAGGTTTCAACAAGCTGCGAAAGCCGCTGGGGTTTCTTGCCGGAGAAGGCAACTTCAAAATGTATGTCTCGCCGAGGGGCTTTGCCGCCACCGTGCCCTCAATAATGACAGGTCGCGTTATGCAGAAGCGGCAATGCGCATGTACCATCGCCGTTGCTGGCAGCACGACATGTAGTTACTATGGGGCAGGGTCTGAGGGACAGGGAAAAAAAAAACTGACACATAATTAGAGAGAAAGACATGACTGCTTGTATTTGTGTGCCCAGGCGGCAAGGACAAACTGTGGGGGCTGGCGTCTCGTTTATTCACGTTGAGTGCAGTTGAGTAATCCGTAATCCGTCCACCATAACTAGACGACTGAAAGACCGAAAGGAACTCAAGCAGTCACAGCCATGGCCACTGTTGCAACGCTTGTGCTCCCTGCATTCAGAAAAGTAGCATTTCGTCCAAATGTCAACGTAAGGGCGGCGCTGATTGGAAGCTTGATGAAGCCGACCATTCGCAAATCCACCAGGGTGCAGCGCGCCGGCTTCTGCGGCCTCTTGCATAAACGCATGCGACGTATCTTATTCTGGCTGTGGCGGCCTATGAGGCATGATGAAAATTCCGGCAACGAATCCGCGGTACTCCATGACCGACGCAAGGCGAACCTTTTGCAGGCAGTGGGTGGCGCATCTAGGTAGGCAGTTCGAGCTTGGCAGGCAGGTAGGTAGGCGGTGGCTCGCCAGTTCATGTACTCCGTACGTTGCAGCAACTCACATAAGCCATCGTCGTAGGTTTTGCCGCTTGTGTTGGCCATGTTCCCGTCGGCCGCCCGATTGATACGAGCGCCAAGGAACAACGGTGTACCGGATCATCGGCCGTCGGAGGATTCCGGTGTAAAAATAGAGAAAATCTCTGCTATTTATAATTACTGGTAATGGCGACAAAGGATTGATTGACAGGACCAACGTGAGAATCACGCCCAACGAAAGAACGAAAGAGGGGCACGGAACTTCCCGCCGCCGTCTTCGCTTCTGGACTCTGGCGCCTGAGACATGAACGCCATGTGGGCGCAAGGAAGAAGCAGAGGGAGCACTGAAGCAGAGACAAAGAGAACTCTCCCCAGCACTCGACTACTGGCGCATTGTTTTGACCTCTAGCCTCTAGTCATATCCTGTTGACTTGCAGCAAGTAGAAAAATATGTGCATGGATAGCGTGGGTAAATCAGTTGCGAGGTGGCGCGCACCCCTCTCGTCTCTTTTCTCCACGACCGATCAACTGCATGTCTCATCACGGCAGAAGATTGCTGCACAAGATACGCAGCCTCGACGTTGAAGAATGGGCTGATTGTTCGGCCTCTTATATGGGTATCAGAGCAGCTTTGTAGACTGGTTAAGAACTGTAGTTGTTGTGTTATGTACCAACAGTTGATACAGCGGCGGGTATTACGGGGGTCCTTGTGTCACCGAGGCTGCGGCGCAGAGTCAGCAGGCGAACGAACGGCGGTACGCCATGTACAGCAGCACACAGGCGGGTGACAGCAGGAAAAGGAGCAGATTTTCGTCCCGAGTACTGTCAATAGCAGCAGGCTGCTTGACACCCTTGCAGAATGGCGAAGGAGTGGAGGACAAAGTGGTGGATATTTCCAGCAGCCAACGAGGGCGGGCTTGGTGGCGGACGTTCCAGGGCGGGTCAGCTTGTTAGTGAGCAGTCGAGCGAGGAAGCACACATCGCGAGTTAGAAACTGAGCTGCAGGTGCAAGATAGCCATAGTTATAATAGAGGGCCAAACCTCAACGGCCAGAGGTCGCCACGTTCAGTGACAAGGACGGTCGAGGGAAGGGCGGGGAACGAGCCGTTTGTGGGAATATGTGCAACAGCCGGCCAGGGTGAGGTGTATTGAACCTGCACGTAAGATGGCAATGGAGATGCGTTTGCTAATGAAGATATCGGTTTCGGATTCATGAACTGCGTGATTAATGCCAGTTTCCCCTCTTGCAAAGACAGATGCGCCATTTGCCCGTCGATATCTGTCTCCCGTGAAGGCGGGCCATCGCACGGCAGTGAGGCAAGCCTAGTGTGCCACGTCAACATTAGCAGCGGAGCAGCAGTAGTTGTTAGGAGTCTTTCCCCGGCAGTAGTTACTATCTTCAACGGTTGGCGGCGTGGGCTGTAAAGAGACGCTGTCGGCACGGCGCCTACGGTTTGATGAGGCACGACACAAACGGGGGTTGTTGCAGGACCATGCAAGCGGAAATGCGAGCAGCCGAGCGAGGTGATGAGCAGAGGGATACAAGAAACACGAAGCACCGAGTAGTGAGTGGTTCGAGTGTTTGAGAGGCGGGCGGCTGGGGGCCAGCGGTGGCAGATGACAACAGGCGAAACGTGGAGAAGGACGAGGAGAAGATGATGATGGTGATGAGAGGAGTGTACACGTTGATTGGGAGGATGCAAGTAGACCAGGGCATGTATCGCAAGCATGTGTACTGGGAAGGAGTACCTGCAGCGAAAATTGATTTTTTTACAGCAGCTTTGGGCATTAGGCTTGGTGGACTCCAGTGGTCTCGCTGGACTTCAGTGGACCCCAATGGTCTCGCTGGACTTCAGTGGACCCCAATGGTCTCGCTGGATCAGTGGACCCGGGCGGGAGACGAGGAGGCCCAGAAGGATTGCAGCACTCGGATGCGCAAATGAGCAAGGCCAGAGAGTTTATCCTGCCGTGTGTTAGCGCCGTTGACGACATACCTACATGCCCTGGAATTACTTCGTACAGGTGCTTCACCCAAAGATTTCAGTGACGAACCCCCTGAAAGTATCCTCGCCTGGCTCCCTCCACCCCCCCCCCTTCCTGCCATGCATCGCCACGCCCTCTCTGCTCATTCTTGCCCGTCTTTGCCGTCCTACCTTGGTCAATGCTCGCTCCTCTACCTCGCATCTTCATCAACTCCTCCCGTCACATTGATTTCTCCTCCAGTTTCCATCGTCTCCTATTCGGCATTGACACGCTCCATTGTCACCCCCCTCCTCGAATCGCTACCTGCCCATCCTTGCTCGTGTGACCCCGGTCACCTTTTATCAACCCTGCGCCTGCACTCCTGCGGCACTGCGACAGACAACCGACCGACTATCGTAGCGAATCCTTAGCACAGCTTTGGGCATCTTCCCGCACCACAACGAGATTCCATCCTCCATCCTGCCAACTCCTCTAGTCGCCCTTGTCTTGCGCACTCGCCTCCATTCGAAACACGCATGAACCTGCCCGCTCTTGTTTGGGAACATTTATACGTCGTCTCTCGTCTCTCGTCTCTTTCCCTCCGCCTTCCCCGCCGCACTTCATTCCGTCGACGCTTGCCATCTCCGAACCTCGTCGGCCGGCACTCACCAGAGACCTGTTGATCACTCGCTAGTGATATTCCTTGCATCATTGCCCATTCAACCAGACTTCTCAATTGTCTGCCCTTTCTCTATTCTGCCATTGAGGACATAGCTACATTTCGCAATCTGCCCACGAGATTCTCGGCTCCGTCGCACAGGACTGCCCTTTCGCATATTACAACACCGATCCCGGCTCATGCGTCCTGCGCCTCTCAGCCATCCCACTATATAACTCCATCAAACCCGCCATCTCCCGACATAATCTCTGCTGGTTTTCACACCTCGCCATCATGTGTCGAATGGTGGTATTCGCTGGCACTTGCACCAAATGTGGCGAGGCCAACACCTGGGAGGAACTTTCCCAGGCCCTATCTTGCTTGGAAGCAAAAAATAACGGCGGTATGGGTGACTGCGCAAATGGTGTCAACATTGAGCAGCACAAGTTCGACCAGGAATGCGATCGCTGCTCCCAAGAAGACGAGGGGCTCGGCGGTGTCGGCCTTTACGAGTCACCTCAAAGGGTAGAAACCAAGCGAGGCGCCACCCAAGATACCTCATCAAGTTCCTCAAAGAGGCAGCGAACATGAACCCAACTCATCCAAATAACGACTCTCCTCACTCTCCCCACAACGACCCCCAGAATATACATACAAGAAACCCACACAGATCTGAGCCCGAAGCTCGCTAAGCTGTGTGTATGAGAGCGGAATCCGAGCCGCTAACCTGGCTCTTTCAAACGACTTTGATGACTATACCTTTGGAAAAAAATCAAGCATTGGCGTATGTAATGCGTGCTTTTGGACATGACGACTTTTTATTTCGCCCCCCCCCTGGACGTGCCTGTGCACAATGAGGAACGGCATGGCGGAGTTTGGTGTTTTTCTTTCTCTTTCCGATTTGCTTTCTGTTGATTTAGGTTGCGAACTAGGCGAAGCATATCGGACGTCTTCTTATTTCATCTTTTGGATAGCATGGCTGTTTTATTTTTTTACCTGACGGCATTTCTAATGGGGCAAAAACTGCCACTCAGCTGATCTTCCATCAGTTCTTGGGATTGTGACTTTTTAGAAGACAGTTTGATATTCTATCTAGCACGCGTGTGTTACGGTATAGGGAAACACTACTTCTAACTATGCAGTCACATATATTATGACTCTTCTGTGTCCTCTATTATTTTATTATTTTTGTTGATGCCAGTTGTGCTGGATTTGGCTGCCAATTCCAACATTCGGCACGATAAGCTGCGCGTCTCTCACAGACGCGGTTGAAATGTTTCGGTGTCAATACTGTCAGTATATTCAGTGTATTCAGTATTCAGGATACATGGCCCGGTGCCACTATTGTACATCAACCCCCCCATAAGTACCTAGTTCTAGTTATGGATCCCTCTCATAAATATATCTGTGACCCGGCCGTTCCTTCCCGCAACCCCTGTGCGTGTGTGCCCTTGTCTACAATGTAATACAATGCCCGAGTATATACAACCAGCATCTTCTTTACTTTTTGCCATTCTTCTTGGTCTTCTTGGCCTTGCTGCTGCTGGCCGGCTTGGGCTGTTCCGGCTTGGGCTGCTCAACTTGTACCTTTTGCTCGGCCTTTGGCTCCGCCGGCTTCTGTTCAGCTGGCTGCGCAACCACCGCAGCAGGCTCTTCTACCTTGATCAGCTCCGCCTGCGAGACCTTGGCCTCGGACGGTTTGGCCTTGCTGTTGTCCACCTTGCTGCCGGACCGCGCCGCAAGCTCCTGCAAACCACTGCGGCTGCCGTTACTGGTGCTACGGCTGTGGGCGAGAGTCTTGGGGCTTGCCGCCTTTGCCGCCTCTGGGCTCGATGAGGCCGCCGCGGCAAGGGCAGCCTGAAGCGCTGTACTGGTGTCTGGCGTCATGGAACGCTCGGCATGTTTGCCCATGCCGTCACTGGCCAACTTCTTCTCCAAGGGTTTGGCAGACGCGGCGGCTTCCTTCTCGACCCTTTTCGCTGTCTTCTCTGCTTGTTTGGTCCTATGAGCGGCGGAAGTTCTGATATCCTCGACGATGGAGTCAGATTCCTTGTCAAGGCTTCTTCTGTTGGCCTTGATCTCTACTCCTTGGACGGAGCCTGCTGCTTCTGTCTTGAGCTGCTTCACCATGGTCTCGCCTTGTTCAATCGTGGTGGGGATGTCAGCCTCCAAAATTTCAGCCTTGGACTGCGCCTTTTCAGCAACAATCTGAGACTGCTTCTTGATATCGTCACACTTGGCCGCGACAGTCTCTGCCACGTACTGTGCACTGTTTGAGGGTTCCTGAGCTGCTTTTTCCACAGCCTTGAGGGCTTCATTTCCATCGCTCTTGATATCTTCCACCAAGATACTGGCTTCTTCAGAGACCGTCTTCTCATGGTCTACGAGACTGATTTCCTTGGTAACCGTCTCCGAGCTGATTTCGACGCCAGTATTGGCAAGGCTCCCGTCGCGACCCTCGACGACAACACTTCTTGCTGGCTCCTCTCCATACCAGGATTCTCTCACGACACGCCAGTATGACTCAGGGTGTGACATGGGGATGGCAACGTGCGTGGCGCCGTCGAAGCGCTCCAGGCGTACATTGAATCCGGCTTCCGCTGCCAATCCTGCTTCGTATTCGACATCGCTGGGCGGAATCATTTGATCGTCGGTACCGTACAGGTAGGTACGACGGAGTTCGAACTCTTGGAATCGAGGATTTCGTATCGTTCGCGAATTGACGTTTTGTCGAGGCTGCAGCACTGGTACGACGCGATAAAAGAGCCAGATGGAGAAGAGCATAGCGTGCACGACCGGTGAAGTCCAGCGTGGTAAGATCTTCATGATGGCTCTGGCCGTGTTGCGCCACTTGAATGTTCCAGGGCAGGAATCAAAGATGAAGACGTGTTGCGGCAGAATGAACCTGCCTCCGAGTGAGCGCTTGAGAGCGTTGTAGAGGAACAAGGTTGTGCTGATGCCGCCATTGGAAAAGGCATGAATAAGCACTCGCGGTGTTGTAGATCTTCCAGTCAAGACGCTGCTAACGTCGTCCTTGATGCGTTGCCTAGTTTCGGACTCGACGACTTCTTTCAAGATAGGCACCGCTGGGCGGATCTGCGTCCATGCCAAGAATGGCAGTACAACATGCGTAAATGGACATTGGGCGACGAGAATACGCGAATTCGGGAAAATGACACGGTATTCCTGGACGTACTTCGCGATGTGATTCTCCCTCGCTCCCATCCATGTCGACAACAAAATGAGTTCCGGATCTGCTCGTGCATTGGTGTTCGCAGAAGCTATTGTGCTTGTTGTCGGCTCCAAGTACGTTACTGACGGGCTCAGTCGTTGCATAAATCCTAGCGAATCCGCGGGCTTTGCGCCGTCGACATTTCCATAAGACATGATCTGCTCTTTGCTTCGGTGTGGCTTAAGTCGGCTGTGCGTTTTAGCCGTCTCTGTAAACGTAGCCGAGCAATAGAGGAGAACTAGGATGTGCTGCAGAAGGCCCCGAGTAACGCAGCCTATCAAACGAACCGGGCAATATTTCAAGGTGCAGAACATACAACTCTTGCAATTCTTGGACAAGTTGGACAAGTTAAGTTGAGATCAAGCTGACATGGCGCCAACATTGCCACTCTCAGGAACAGCCTTTGTAGCCGAGGCACATGGATCGGTCGCGTGTGGGGCGACGGCACTTCAGAGTTGCGGGTTACCGAGATGATGAGTTGTCCTGAGCGACCATCTCCAACTTACACATCTTGCCATATGCTTTTATCGCGATGATCATGCATGACAATATAGAGGGAAGGGGCTTGTGTCACATGGGGAGATGCATTCTGTCTTGGGCATGGAGGCCAAACGAAGCGCCAGAAATATACTTTCTCATGGCAGGGATCCCCCAGACTCAGACAATGTATCCGGCATGAAGCCACTAGCTATGTCAGCCACGTTCATGCAGATGAAGGTTTAACCATCATCATGCTGGCTGATAGTAGGTCAGGTATCCTGCATCTAGGTCGTGGTAGTGCCATCGATACATCACCGTGAGTGGGTGAAGTTGACAATCTCTCATTCCAGGATTCGCACAGTATTCGTGACGCACCAGGCTTCGGCAACGTAAACACCAAGCCGAAGCAGTGTAAAACGAGGGGTGGGATGCTTCCCCGTTCGGAGCCCTCGCCAGACATCATCCCCCAAAGCTTTTCAGGTTTGCCAAACGAAAGCCAGAGTGGATGCGTACCTAGGCAAATGAAGGACAGTGTCTGTACCACGATCAGCAAGCAATTCTGTGTCCGACATTACATACACACTCCGTCCAAGCCAAAGGTGTGTGCCGGGACTTTGGCACATTGCGCTGTGGCGGGCGGGATGAGCCTACCAACGAAGCGGAAAGCCATTCACGCTTTCTCTTTCTAGCGGCGCGCAAGTTGACGCTGCACCATCTCGCTTATTTGGACAGGACTTGAACGACGTGATACAGCAGTGGATATGATGACTCGGATAAGGCTCAGAACAATTTTCTCGACTGAAGTTGCAAAATGTGATTGCAGATCCGAAATGCTGGGTAGCGATGATGGGTATTCTCCCCGGCCGAGCAATTGAATCTCAGGGGCTTGGAGGTCAGGCAGTCGGTTGGTCAGTCGGTCGCAATTTTATCTCTTGGTTTGGGTCTGCTGCGGACATACTGATCCGTTGGACTACCTGTTGTGCGAGGTCAACCTGACGGATGTACCCCGAAGTTTTGCTTACATCAAACATACCATACAGAATCGGGAGTGAGATGATGAAGGAGCGAAGAGGACGGATGGTACTCCTGCCAAAGTTTGCCTCTTCTGTCATCTGGAAACAGAATCTGCGTTGGACTGACTGCCCACCGCTTGCCAGCTGGCAAACGACGCGGCCGGCTGCCCGGCCAAACGCAGGCCGTCAGGTAACAGATATGCCAGGCGAGACGAGGCAAGAAAACACAAGGCAAAAATCAGTTCTTGCTTTCTGCATAAATAAACAACCTACTTCTCCCATCATAACACCATCGAATTAAAGCACACATTCAATTCACTTCATTTCCAATCATTACAATACTTTCGAGAGCGCTGGTAACATCTTGCCTCGCTCAATCCGTATATTGTCTCTACTCTCGATCCGCGAGTCACGGAAACTGGCACTACAGTCATCATGAAAGCAAACATCGTCATCTCGGTACTGGCCGCAGCCGTCACCGGCCTCAAGGAGCAGCGCCATGCTCGGGACTGGGATCTGTCTCAGCCCATGAACGGTATCACGTTCGAGAGGGTCAAAGCCATCTCCATGGCCAAACCTGATCGCCCAACTCCCCGTTTCTCTCGCCTCAAACACGTCGGAGGTAGCAGAGGAAAGCACGGCATGGTCTCTGCCCTCGGACGTGCTCTTCGCGCCACTCCTGGCACAGTCAAGCAAACCTTCCAGAACATCTCGTCAGTCGGTGCATACGCTACACAGTATGCTATTCAATGTGGCTGGGACGGAAAACCCGTGTGGCTGCTTTTCGATACTGGCAGCTCAGATACTTGGGCGGCCAAGTCAGACTTTGAATGTGTTGACAGCCTCGGCAATTCTCACGACCAGGCTCTCTGTGGCTTTGGAACATCGCTGATTGACGATTTCGGCCAGGGTCCCATCGATGAGCTGCACTTTTTCCTCAAATATGGCTCTGGAGAGAGGATTTCTGGCCCAATGGGCTACTCCGACCTCAGCTGCGGCGGAATCTCTGTCTCGAAGCAGCAAGTCGGCCTTGCAAACAGCACGTACTGGCGTGGCAACAATGCCACTGTCGGTATCCTGGGCCTTGCCTACCCATCCATCACCAGCGCCTACTATGGCGCTATCGGAGATGAGGCTTCCTGGAACGCTATTACTTATACGCCTTTCCTTACCAATGCAATTATCCAGGGCGGTCTCGATCCTGTATTCAGCGTGGCCCTTTCCAAAAATTCTTCTGACGGCGTACTTGCTTGGGGTGGCCTTCCTCCCATCGACTGGGTGCGAGGTGTCTCTGCCTCGACGGATCTTATTGTCGTAAGGACACACTGCCTTTTGCCTACTCTGATGCAATTTGTGATGTCTAACGCGTGATAGGCAAATATTATCGACCAAGCGGAAACTGCATGGAAGTATTCGTTTTATACCATCATCCCAGATGGCGTGCGCTGGGGCCAGACCACAGACACGACCAGATATCCTTTTATTGTCGACACGGGCACCACGATGATGTACCTTCCTCCTCGTAAGTTGACTTTATTGAAACATGCATGACAATGACTGACCTGAAGAAGCTCTCGCTGAAGCCATCGCCATGTCGTTCCAGCCCCGCGCCGTTTACCTTTACCAATGGGGCATGTACTTTGCACCATGCAACTCGATCCCGCCAAGCTTTGCAGTTACCATTGCAGGCGTTGACTTTTGGGTCAACCCGGCAGACATGATTTACCAGGACCTGGTCGATCCACTGACCGGGTACTGCGCCATTGCCGTGGCAAGCGGTGGGCAAGGGCCATACATTTTGGGCGATGCCTTTTTGCAGAATGTGGTGGCCGTCTTTGACGTGGGAGCAGCTGAGATGCGCTTCTACTCGCGGTAAAGAGCCGAAGAGACGGCAGGCACACAGTGGTGGCAGATTACGAGAGGTTGTTGCATTGAAGGTATAATATATTGGCCGCTGTGCTGCGACAATGAGGTTTTGTTAGTAGTTATGTTTTTGTTAGATGATTGAGTTTTAGTAACTAGAATATTTGCTGGATGCGCTCTCTATCCAATGGTGCATTTGACAAGTGAAGCGGCACGACTTGCCAAGGCGGGATGGTGCACTGCGTAATAGCCGCCCAATGAGCAACAACCTACAGGTATGCTAATCGCTGGCAGCTTGTGGGCAGCGCGTGTTGCGAACTGATAGTCAAAGACAGGCCGACCCGCTAACGGAAAGGTCGACTGGTATGTATACGTTACACCTACACTAAAGAGACTGCGAAGAAAGGTGCCGGGCGATTTCGTACCGTCTTTGTGCTCTCAGCAAGGAAAACAGGCGAGCAGACAGCACCTGCAAGTGGCTGACATCAACAAGGGCCTTTTTTTACGAGCGCCGAGACGCAAGTGACACGATGAGCGGAGTGTTGGCCGGGCCACCGACGCCTACGGGCCGGGTGAGGGCGAATACATACAGCATGAGCAAGGTTAGTCCAAGTACCAGGATTCTGGTGCATTTCTTATGTCTGCTTTTCCAGTCGTGCAAGTATTGTCCCTTTGGTCGAGTGACGGGGGGGCAATTGGAGCGGTGAGCGCCTGTTGCGTTGATGCCCAAGTGGGAAATGTCGATTTTTTTTCTTCCCCTTTGATGCGCGAATTGACCGGAACGGCAAGCGACCGTGTCATCTACACAAGAGTACCCATTCTTTGCGCATCTGGATTATCGAGGACCAATGCAAGTTGCCGGATCCGTCTGCGCATCGCGGCGTGACCGGTCATTCATGGAAAGCCAAAGCTATGCCGTCGAGAGGCAGCGGAAGGCTCACAAGAACGAGCGGCGACGGCGACGGCGGTCGCAACGACCACACACACCTCGGACAGACCCGGGACGGCCTCTGGGACATGGCTACTGCGGTGGAGCGCACCCGAGACGTCGGCGGGCTGTGGGCTGCGGTGCCTTGCAGGCGGCGACGACGGTCATGGGACCATGGTGCATTTTTTTTGAACGACACCCGTTTGAAGTTGACAAGAGTCGTGTCATCTCGCGGTGTTGTCGTCTAGGCAGAGTCGCCAGCGGAGAATTATCCGAGCTGCTTGGGCGAAAAGGCTCTTGTGCCAAGGAAAAAAGCTGTCCTGATGAGAAAGTGGGATGAAGGGCCCAGATCTTGCAGGCGGTCGGTGGATTACGAGATGAGAATTCGTGGAGAAGTCGACGTGCAGCAACAAAACGGTCCACTGAAGGCCTGGGTACTTGACGATGATGGCGCCTGAAGGTGGTCATGACGAGGGAGGGAAAAAGTCAATGATGGATTGCTTGACCAAGAACGGCATGATGAGGCTACAGACACGCAATGATGAAGAGAGCGAGAAGAATGCTTGTGCTGCCTTGTCTCGTGTCCGTTTGCCTTGGGGAGGCATGAAGGCTTCCAGATGCGGGGCATTGCAGACAAAACGGCTGGCTGCCGGCCAATGCCAGCGAATAAGGTACTTGGGAGGCGTCTGCATGTTGGCTGTGGTGCCAAGGTACCTTGGTGGTGGCAGCGCGAGTCTAGACTGCCAGTGACTATACGTTCTTCTTGGGTTCATCGCCTGACTTTTTTTTGCCTCTTCGGGCTGAATTGTTATCAGAGGCTGAACAAGAGTTTCTTGGCTCCCCAAGCATTGGCCAAAAAAGGGCCAAAAAACATGCTGGTCATCTGGGAGAGTCTCTTCTCTTCCTCACTTCCTCAGGGCCCTCGGCCCACTGACGGACCCCAGGAAGCCCCAGAAAAAACCTAAACCGAGCGACCGCTCCCGCCTCAGGCGATCGATTCCTCGCTGGTCACAAAGCCGCCGCTTGTCCGTCCTTGCTCGTCCACCCTCGTCCTCGTCCTTTTCTTCTTTTTTTTCTTCTTTTTTTTTTCGGTTCTTTCTTTCCTCCTTTTCACCTCTTGTTTCCCGATTCTTCCCTTTTGCTCATTGCGCTCTTGATTTCCCACCAGTCGTCTACCCAACCACTCCGTCAACGTCGTTCCCTCCTTCTCTTTCATCCCTGTTTCGTTTGCACCATCGTCCATCCACAGAAAGAAACCCCTATGTCTCTGCGCCCGCCCTCACACGCCGCTTCACACACGCCACTGCTCGCCATTCGATAGACAGAGAGACCGCTGTTTGCCCGTCATGCCGGGGAAAGCTAACGGTGTCGGCGTCCAGGTCGAGGACACCAAAATATGTGTCGTCATGGTGGGCCTGCCTGCCAGAGGCAAAAGCTATATTGCACAGATTGGTGAGTTGGCGGCTGTTCGAGGCTCCTGCAAAAGCAAAATGGTGCAGACCGGGCTGCAATCAGTCCTCGACGATGCAGCCTGACCAACATTGATTCCTCTCTTGCAACAAACCGTTTACCTCCCCCGCCCTGGGACCCCGCTAACACGACGCCCAGCCCAGCGCTACCTGCAGTGGCTGTCCATTCCGGCCCAGACCTTCAACGTCGGCAACTACCGGCGCAACGACGCGCCGCATCCCACTGCCGACTTTTTTGACTTCGCCAATGCCGAGGGTGAGCGCAAGCGCCGCGCTGCCGCCGAGGCCGCCGTTGCCGACATGCTGCGCTGGTTCCGCTCCGGCGGCGTCGTCGGTATCCTCGACGCCACCAATTCCACAAAGGACCGTCGCCAATGGGTTCACCAGATCTGCGAGGCCAACGGTATCGAGGTTCTCTTTGTTGAGAGCCTCTGCGACCAGGAGGAGGTTATCATGGCCAACATCCTCGACGTCAAGACCTCCAGCCCCGACTACAAGGACCAGGACCCCGAGGAGGCGGCCAACGACTTTCGCCGCCGCATCAGCCAGTACGAAAAGGTGTACAAGACGATTGACGGCGACGGCGACGAGAGCAACTATACATATCTCAAGATCATGAATATTGGCAAGCAAGTCATCATCAACCGCATTCAGGACTACTTGCAGAGTCGCATTGTATACTACCTCATGAACTTGCACATCCGGCCCCGGTCTGTCTGGCTGTCCAGAGTACGTCTGCCTCAATGCCATTACTACTACATTCACTAACACGCTGAAGCACGGTGAATCACTGTATAATCTGGACGGTCGAATCGGTGGCGACACCATGCTCTCCCCCCGAGGCGAGCTGTATGCGAAGAAGTTACCCGAGCTTGTGCGCGAGTCCGTAGGCGTAAGCAACCCCCAAGCGCTCAAGCCCGCGTAGTGTAACGATTCCTGTATAACACGGCTAACCGGACGCGACAGGATGACCGCCCCCTGACGGTCTGGACTTCAACCCTGAAGCGCACCATTTCCACGGCGCGCTGGCTTCCCGTGCACTACAACCAGATGCAGTGGAAGGCGCTCGACGAGCTCGACTCGGGCGTCTGCGACGGGCTCACGTACCAGGAGATTAAGGACAGCTATCCTGAGGACTTTGTCGCCCGCGATGATGACAAGTACAACTACCGCTACCCGGCCGGCGAGTCGTACCGCGACGTGGTCATCCGGCTCGAGCCCATCATCATGGAGCTCGAGCGCAGCGAGGATATTCTCATCGTCACCCACCAGGCCGTCCTGCGCTGTATCTACGCCTACTTCATGAAGAAGGACCAGGCTAAGAGCCCCTGGATGAATGTACCCCTACACACTCTCATCAAGCTAACGCCCCGCGCCTACGGCACCGAGGAGATTCGCTACGAGGCCAACATTCCGGCCGTCAGCACTTGGCGCGGCAAGGGAAGCACGGCCAAGCACGAGGCCCCCACGGGCGATACGATGTAGATGAGCCCATGTGGAGAGGCGTCGGAAATATCATAAACTACTTGAATGACGTGCATACGAAAGGCGACACCCGAAATGAGGGCAATACGTGACAGAAATGGGATTGTACCTTTTTGCATGCATTCGGTGTTGGGATTGTTTCACAAATACAATGAGCTCCATAACAAGAACACGAGCTGTTCTCACGATATCCCAGAGGTGAACAAGGTTCCCACCAACCATCTGGTGCGATCTCTTCACCGTTCTTTTGGCTGTATGATTCCGTGCTGTGATACCACTCGCCGTGCGTGATTCAGAGCCTCCCGAGGCCCTATAAATCGGCCACGTCTACCCATCCTTTCCCATTTTGCCTCTTCCCTCTCCCTGTTCCTTTTCTTCTTCAAGGGGCCCCAAGAACTGATTACTCACAACCAACTACTTTGCAAGCCGAGCTTCTTCCACTGCTTGCCACTCGCCAATAAGATCTCTATCTACACGGCGGCACCACCATGGCCTACATTTTCCAACAACCCATCTTTGCCGCCCAGCCGGCCTACTTTGTCCAGCCGCAGCCGCGCATCCTCTACACCACCGGCGCGCTCGTCGCGCCGCTACCGGCCACGACGTTTTACCAGCCGCAGCCGCTCATCCTCGCGGCGCCGGCCGCAGTGGCGGCGCCCGTGTATGCCGTGTCGCCGCTGCTGCTGCGATCCTAGGAGGATGGTGCGGGCGGCAGCGGCGGCGGAGGGAGGGTTCTGGGAGAGGTCACGGATGCTACTACGCCGCCGGCAGCACCACCACCAGCAGCGCTGCTGCCGCCATCCCAGCCGGCAGCACCACCATCCCAGCCGGCAGCGCTGCTGCCGGCAGCACCACCGCGCCAGCCCGTCTCCATGCGCGTTGTGCTCGTCGCACCCGGCACCGCGTCCGTCGTGGACGACGTCCACTACGCCAACGCCCCCCCGGAAACCATGGCGCGCGTCTGCGCAGACGTCGGCCACGTGCTCTCGCAGCACGGCTTCCTCGAACACGCCGCCCACGTGCAAGCCCATGGGCTGTTGCGCGTGGTGACGGTTGGTGGTCAGGCGCCGCCGGGGGTGCGGCTTGGCGAGGATGGGAGAGTCGTGCTGCTTAACAGGGTGGTGTGGGAGTGCAGGGCCAACGAGGCGGGCAACGACGCCGCGCTGGCGACGAGGGTCGCCGAGGCCGCCCGCATGGGCGACTGGTTGGTGTTTCAGCTCTGTTTGCCGCCGGAGCAGCCGCAGCCGCCAGCGGCGTCTGGGGAGGAGGGCAGTGCGTGAGGATTTTTTTGTTTTCTTCTCTTTTGGGGAGGCTTCGAGAGGCAGTCAGTCAGATTGTTTGTTTAGGGAGAGGACGAGCCAAGCGAGCTTTTCGTCAGCGTTGGAAGGGGAGACAAGTCCGTTGCCATGTCGGTGAATAATGGGGATCAGTAGATCTAGAACTGCAAGAAGTCATTCTACCATCTTTTGTATCGAGTTGGGACGTTTTTTTTTTTTTTGTTCTTTTATTTTGCTGCTCACATCTTGAGAGCCACCTAGGAACAAACCCAACTTTGCTTTATTTCTCGAAACGATTCATCATCCCCCCCATCATACTTTTTTTCCGGAAGAAACGCCCCAGACTTTCGCGTGATGTCTTTTATGGACAAGACAAACACAAAATGCACACAGAGAGAGAAGGCAAACTGTATCGGCCAAGGGCGAAGAAAACCGTTTCTTGTGGATATCGTACAAGTACTCTGGAAAATACCAAATCGCAAAACGCAACATCAAACAAGAAATCGAGGGGGTTATGGAACAAACCAAAACAAAAAAAATACAACGCCGATTACCCAGAAAACGAACAAGACAAATATAGCGCAGCCAGCAGGTTGGTGGCATCAAACATATAATCAATAGTGAGCCACATTTGGCTGAGTAGAACCAAGAAGAAAAAAAAAGGACGCTTCTATTTCCGACATTTGTCTTGCTTCCAACCAGATGCTTTCTTTCTTTTTCTTTGCCTTGCGTTTCGTAGTCACTGCGGCCCTTAGTTAAAAAACCCCCCCGTCACTCATTACTTATTTTTTTTTCTCCGCAAGACGTGTGCATCCATCCACTATATATCACGACTTGGCGGCTCCTAATTGCCATCAAACAGGAGCTGTCTTGCAGGGCGTCGTTTTGGCCTAGACAAGAAAAAAAGATGACTTCGCAAAAATCAGTCGTAGGCGGAGGGTAGGGGGTATCTCGAGCATGTCACCGCTCTTCCTCCACCGACTCTCGTTGCTTTTTTTTTACGCCCACGAACAAGAAATGTGAAATAAAAGACAACAGCACAAATGCTTTCCCATATGCCGGTTGTCTTTGGTCCGATTCAAGAAATTTTGCTCTTTTTCTTGTCCGTTGTAAAAAACAAATTCACCAGAACCCCAGGCTAGAGCAAAATCCGTTCAAGCATGAAATCAACCCAAAAAGGAGGCCGCCGCCATGCTGTAAGTCGCGCCGAGAGCAAAAAGAGAATGGCAAAGCGAACCCGTCAAGGCATTATGCCAGTGAAAACAACAACAAGACACGCTGCAGGTGCCCAAATCACTATTCTCATGACGGATTTCCCTTGACACGTTTTGGCATGCGCGGCGTAGCTGGCTTGTTTCTGTTACCAGTACCGTTGACTTGGGATCCCGGCGTTCCCGCTCCAGAGACGTCCTCCTCGATCTTAACGGCTGACGGTCTCCTGCGCTTATTAGAAGCCGGCGACGTATTAGCGCTCGGCCCGCTCGAGCTCGTTCCTTGCTGGCTCTGCTGGAGCTGCATGCCAGGGGCCTGAATCTGGCCAGGCGCTGGACTGCCCACGTGAGGTGAACCAGGGAGGTTCATGTTGGCCGCGGCCGGACTGGCTCCCATGGGAAACTGGCTAAAGCTGGGCGTTCTCGGAGGACCCTGAGGCACTTGACCGTTCATCTGCCCGGGGGCGGCGTTGATAAACGTGGAAACGTACTGGTCGAGTGCAGCATACGGACCGAGGCCAGGGTTGTTGTGAGTAAAGTTGAAGAGCGGGTTCATCTGGCCCATGACTTCTACTATCTCCAGGAACTGATAGACCGCTTCGGTAACACCCTGTCTATTAACGGCGGAATCGGGTAAGTCATTGAGGACCTCTGGAGGCTCCCTCTGCGGCGACTTGAGCTGCTTGCCCTTGCCCTTCTTGGACATTTCGGGCGACTGTTTGCTATCGGTCGAGTTTACCTTGTGCCATTCCTTCATCCAGACGTGGGCCGGCTTGGCAGCGTCAATGACTTGCTTTCGGGCGATGAATTCTTCGTGGCTGGTGGCCAAGAACTCAAACACCTCCATTCTCTGTTCGTTGTCAAACACGACGCGCAGGTTGCCGCTCGATACCAGATGTGACCCCGTTTCGAACCAGTAGATCATGCTCGCCCTGGGGTTTTCAATCTGGTACCCGTCACCAGGTAGAGGTCTGTCAGCAGTTCCTTGTCCCAAAGTGATCTGCATCGACTTGACGCCGCTGCCAAAGTGGGTATGGAAGTATCGCGCGATGGCCGGGAAAGTAATGTCGTACTGGCGGGGACCCGTCTCTTCGCCCTCTGCGCTGGCGTGGAGAGTGTGGCGGAAAACGGCTGATCTCGAAAAGAAACGCATCACCAGCTCGTTCCAGTAGCCGAGATCGTCTCTGCTTCGGGCTCCCGGATAGCCGCTCAACAACTCACTCAGCTGGGACAGCCTCATCAGACATTGAGCCTTCATTTGCTCCCTACGCTGCTGCTGCATATAAGTCGTGTTCATGGCCATGTGCTGGGCGGCGGTCATGTGTTGCGCAAGCAGGGGGTGCTGTTGAGGCTGAGGCTGCTGCTGAGACTGATGGCCTGGTTGTGGTTGCAGACCCTGCTGCTGCGGTGGACCAGGGTTTTTGCAGAGGTTGAGTTTGTGGCGCTTGCGCGGGGTTGGGTCCAGGTGCAGGCGTCTGCTGTGGCGTATGCTGACCAGTGGGCGCAGGAGTGCCGGCCTGCGAGCCTTGCGCGGGCGTTTGTTGTCGCTGCTGGGCTTGACCAGCCGCCTGCTGCTGGGCCTGCTGCTGAGCTTGAGCTTGAGCTTGGGCCTGTGCCTGAGCTTGTGCCTGTGCTTGTGCCTGGGCTTGGGCTTGGGCTTGGGCTTGTTGCTGACCAGGTTGGCCCTGGCCTTGGGGCTGTTGACCCTGTTGGCCTGGTTGTTGACCTTGCTGGTTCTGCTGCCCTTGGGGACCCTGCTGCTGGCCTTGTTGGCCACCCATCTGTGCCTGTGCATTGGGACCACCCTGTTGTTGCTGCTGCTGTTGCTGAGCCTGCTGCTGGGCCTGGGCCTGCTGTTGTTGCAGATGTTGTAGGGCTTGTGCGTTTATCTGCATCTGCTGGGGGTTGCCTCCCTGCTGCATCTGGTTCTGCGCGGCGGCGTGCTGTTGCTGTTGGTGCAGAGCCAGTTGCTGCGCCATGAGGGCGGCATGCTGCTGCGCCTGGGGATGTTGCATCTATCAAAAGGTCAGCCTGTTGCGGATGAGCACTGATAGAGGCAGATGCTTACAGGGTTAATACGCCCGCCCTGTCGCAGCTGCTGCATCTGCTGTTGGGTAAGCTGTATGTTCATAGGCATACCGTTAGCAGCCATGCCATTGCCGCCCATGTTGTTGGGTGGAATGCCACTGTTCTGGGCCATAGCCTGCTGAGCCATCAAGGCCTGTCGTTGTTGCTGGACGAAAACTTGCTGCTGACGCATCTGAGCCACCGCACCCTGATTGGCGACTGGATGGGGAAGTGGAGGTTAGCAGTGAATGGGCAATCCGAATCGGGCGAGAGGCTGGCGACAGCGCTTACATTGGTTTTGCAGCTGCTGCTGCTGCAAGGCTTGCTGCTGAGCAGGGCTCAAATGTTGGAATGCAGCTTGAAGGTTGTGGTTTCCTCCTCCGTGCTGCTGCATGGCCGCCATCATGGCCGGGTTCATAGCGGCCGGATTACCAGCGGCCATAGGGTTGCCAGCAAACTGATGAGGCATGCCACCGCCAGGCGTACCTGGCTGTCCACCGTTCGCATTCATACCGGGACCCATGGGATGACCGGTTACGCCTGGATGTCCCATGCCGGCGGGATGGCCCTGAAAGTTTGGGCCCATACTCGTGGCCATCATAGCTTGACGGGCAAATCGGCTATCCACAGCGAGCGGATATCGACGAATGTGCCAAATGCTACTGCATGCACATGCGTCGATGGGAAGTCGGCGAACGCGAACGCGGGGCGCAACGAGTGCGTGTTATGGACGTGTAGGCAGTAAATAGACGTCGTGCAAGATGAATGGCGATGAGGGTGTCGGCGCGTGGGCTTCGGCGAACGTCGCGGGCTCCGAGGGCTTGAGTCGTGGCTGGGGATGCGACCGGACGAAGCGAGGAGGGAAAAAAGCGAGTAGGTCGAGATCGGGCGGAATCACAATTATTTGCCGTGGACGAAGAGAGTGAAATCGCGACAACAAGTCCTTTCGGAGCGACAGCGATGATGGGAGCGCGCGGTAGCGGGTGCGTGACAAATGGCGTGACGGTGATACCAGACACGGCGCCACTGGACGAAGCCTGAGGCCAAGACCACGATGGTTCGCGCGTGCGGATAGCGAGGAAGCGATGGCCGGACAATGAGGAGCTATAGGAGGCTAGAAGGCGCGAAGAGGCGCGAAGAGACGATGCCGACGGGAGAGCGCGGCAACCGTAAGAAGCCAAGGCCGGCGATAGGGTGGGAGATGTTGGCTGGCGATGGGCGCGAGTTGGCAGCCAGATTATGAGGGGGTCAAGAAGGGCCAGTTATCCGCGAGGAAAGGCTGGGCTGGGCTGGTTTGGGGGGGCAGAGCGGGCTATCCGTAATGCTTGTAACGTTTGTAGCAGGCCGGTAGGCACAGACAGTACCCGCGCTGACCCAGGCGCTAGGAGCGCTGTAGTGAAGATGGCAGTGCCTCCAAGTGTCCGGGGGGTTTGGCGATGAACAAGCACAAGAGAAGGACCAAGAAGCAAGGGAGAAGCGAGCGAAGAGAATAGATGAGGCAAGGGCAAATAGCACTCGTGGAGTGATTCCTTTGCTGTGTATTGGTAGAAGTAAGAATTTTTGGCTGGAAGAGAAGGACGAGAAAAAAAACAGCCGTCCATCCTACTGGCTGGCGAGCTGGCTACCAGGCAGGTAGGCCTTCTGCGACAGGCGAGGTTTAGGCCTCTGAGGACCCTGGAGGCCGAAAAAAAANAAAAAAAAAAAGGCCAACCACTGTACCTACTCAAGGGTGCGGTATCTCCGAATCAGGCGCTACTAATTTGTACTGTAACGACTAACACCACGCATCAACTTCTCTTACATGGAGACGGGCGAGATGACGGGGACCGTGGCGGCCCTGACTGGGGGGACTGGGGGGTGGGCGCCCGCCCATCTCCCTTCCTGCCCTCTCTCTTTCGGCCCTGCCGCCCAAACGGGGGCGGGGGCTATGCACATACCGAGGCCAGAACCTTTCCTTGTCGCACAGGGTCGGTAGTGGAGCCCAGGTCACCCGCGAAAGGAGTTTTTGGGTGCGCGGCGCGCGCGCGCGGCGCGTGTGTGTGTGGCTGGGACAACCCCATGTCGTGGCCTGCCCCGATAACAGTGCTAGCGCCGAGCTAGTCTTCGCTGTACCGAGGTCATGCTTGTATCAGGCTGCGCTTCCACCACACTGGCCGCCAGTAGACCGCGAAAGAGGGCCAAAGACACAAGATTCAAAGAATACAAGAAGAGAAATCGAATCGCAGTGGCATTTAGAGCTCGAGTCGTTTTTCCCGCGAATTCATAGCTGCCCTTTTGGCCCAATCGCTCCTCATATCACATCCTTCATGGTAACACTTGCGAGCTTCGATTGGGGTCCCGGACGCTAACACTCTAACCAGACAGGATGCTTCCAGTGAAAAGTGGCCGCTCACGTGATCCATACAGTGCATTGGTTCTATCCCACCGTGCTTTTGCACTGTCATTCATTAACCTCGAAACTTTTTTTTTCTTCATTGGAGCACAATCATGAGCAGAACCTCACCCCTCGACAACCTCCCAAAGACCTCCCAATCCGGTCGAAGCTGGTCTTTTACGACTATGGATCGCTGATTATGGGATACTGCAGCTTTTGGTGTTTGTATTTTCTTTCCTGCAGCCTCGCTGCACGATAGATATGCGCGTGCAGCAGTTAGGAAATATTTTCTGCCAAATTTTGCAGCTTGGGGTCGAGATGATTTTTTCCTGGGTTGGACTTGAGGACATGTTCACCTGTCTGCTTCTTCCCGGCGCACTCTTGGTAAGCTTGCCTGTTCTTCTTTACCTGCCACCTTTGCCTTTCGCCGAATCACATACCGGCATCGAATGATGACAACATACTTATACTTCTTTTCAACACTGAATCGACCATGATGCAACATTCGGGTCCCCTTCGCAAGGGACCTGTTACTTGCCAGTATTTCCTGTCTGACTTGTCATCTCGGCTCGCCTCACTTCCAGGCTGCAGGACTCGTGCAAATTTTTCGTTGATCCTTTTGCTAACAGAAGTCTTTCAAGATGCTTTTAGTGCCTCCCACGCGACAACGAATACTAATTGCAGCCGTCTGCGATTGTCGACACTCACTAACGTAAGTCTTGTGTGCTCGCGCTTCTTTATCTCTGCTTTTGTCTTGTGTTTTCAACACGGTGTTTCATGATGAAATTTCCCATTTATTCGCAGTTTCCACTCGAGTCTCATAGAGCCAATTTGGGACAGATGAGGGTATTATCTTCCTTGGATGTCTGATCTACACCTTTTTCTTTTTTTCTTGATTTCTCGCGCAATTCCGTTGTCAAGGGCTTCAACTAACACGCGAAAAGTTTGCAGGACCCGCCCATAAATCGTAGTAATCTATTTAAGATGCCCATCAATATATCTATACTCAAATGCACTCCACTCTTGATGATTGTGACATGATTTTCCCGCCGATATCGCAAATATGATATGACGTGCTGCAACCTCATGCCAGACATCCTGTACGCCAGCCTCCCTGTCGTCAGAGGCGTCGTCTGGCCAGCAGAATTGATATGATGGATGCCAACGAAAGGGCGAAGACGGATGTGTCGATGAATTGGCTTGTAATTTCTGTAATGGACTGTTAAAGAGTTAAAGCATGCCAGCAGTCGAGTGCCTGTGCCGATTTGTTTTCAGAGTAAAATAAGCTTGTGCATGTATAAATCAAATGCATTGAGTTTCATATGTAACATTTACCTCACAAACCAGACGCAGAACGCTCTACAAATCGAACCATCTTCGCATGCCACCTATAAACGCCCAATCCAAACCCTGTTTGTTCCCAAGCCATCATACAACGCCGTCTTCATAAACATGCATACCATACCATAGTCCCTACATCCCGCACTGTCCTCACGCAACGCGCAGCTCCTCTCTAACCTCGTCCCTGCGCACGCGTCCGCCCACGATGCCACGCCTGTTCCTGCCAGTGCGGCCGCGGCCCAGCCAGTTGAGCTTGAGCATACGGCACAGCTCCGCCATTTTCCTATCGGCGTCAGCCTCGGCGACGTCGTCGTCGCCGCCGGCCCCGACCAGGCTGGCCAGCACGCTCATGCACTGCAGCATGCGGCCGACCATGTCCGTCACCTGCTTCGAGTCCTCGACGTTTTGCTCGCGCACGCTGCTGAGCACCGGCTGTTGCGCAGCGCTCGACGACGGGGTAAACGGCCGCAGGCCGCCGTGTTGCGCGGCACCGCCCCCGCTGCCGCTGCTGCCGTAGGAGACGTTGCTGACGGCGCGGCTGCGTCCGCCCGACGCGGAGCCGCGGTCGTCGCCCAGGAGCGTCGTGCCGTTGGAGTTGTAGGAGCCCACCGACAGCTCGTGCGACATGGCGGTGCCGGGACGCATCAGGGGCGGGAAATATTCGGGCGGCGAGGCGGACATGGCGGCCGAGTCTGAAGGTGACGACATGGCCATGTTGGCAAAGGAAGCGGGTAGGAATTCGAGGGATAGGCGTGAAAAGATGCTCTTGAGCGTCTCGTAGCGCGGCAGTATGACATTATCGCGGTAGGCAGCGAGAACCAGTCTTCGTATGTCAAAGATGACGGTTGCTGGTGTTGGCTTCGCAGTCTGATCTGTGGTTGCGGATAGTGAGCCCCAAAAGTCGCGAGCTTGCTCATAGGTGAGGATGGTGCCACGACCAGCCACTTCGAGCTCGAGCGGCACAAACACAGCCTGCAGATAGGGCAGGATCGACGTGAACGTAAAAAGCCACAACTCAACGAGCGTCGGAATGAACCTGTCTTCCGGCGCTTGGCGAAGCGTGTGATCTAGTGTAGAGAAACCCTTGGCGAACAGCTCTCGCAAGTCGTCGAGCATGCTCAGCGGCGATCGCTTATGGATGCAGTATTGAATGTGCATCTGTACGATGCGGTTAATGTCTTCCACTGGCAAACGCAAATCTTCGCCCTGAAATACGACAACCAAGAGAGATTTCAAGTACGGCCAAGCTTCATCCACAGAAGAGGGCGCCTTGAGGCCGAGTCGCGCAGACTCGGACGTATCGTACAAGGTGCTTTGTTGCGAGAGTGACGGGAACGGAACCGTACCAGTGAGGTCACCAGCAAGGTTCAACGACGATTCATTGTCTTGCCGACTGTCGGACCGCTCGCCGTACTTCTTCTCCTTCCTTGCTTTGGAAAAGCCCGACGTCGAAAGGCCGACACTGGAGGGCAGATGAAAGTTGTATAGACTGCTTGGCGCACTGGGGTCCGAGGGCCGCGAGTTGCTGGCGGCGGATGATAACGGCAGGTGATACTCGTCCTTGAGCTTTTGTTTCTGCCGGGAGAGGAAGTGGTGCCGTTTCTCCTTGCCCTTTTCTTCCACATTGGCCGAGTCCGCGGGCCGGATCGTGGCCGAGGACGAGTTTGTCAAGCTGTACAGAGAATGGGCCGTCGACTCGGCCAGGCTGGTGGTGCTAAAGTTGCCGCGCTGGAGCGCCGACAAGGCGGACCCAATCTTGCTGGGGCTCGGAAGCGCCTTGTCTTTGCCGTCGGACTTGGCCGCGCTCATTTTGACAGGCCGCGAGAAGAGCTTGGCCTTGGCCTTTTCCGACTTCGAAAGCGGCTTGTCCGCGAGCGCGGCGGGTATGGGCGGTGGCAGAGGCAGGGCGGGCTGCGGCGAATGGGCGTCACGGGGCGAGCTATGCCCGGACCTGGGAAATACGACATTGGCCGCAGTAGTGGCCGCGGAAGATGCCGTGCTGATGCCCAGTCCGCCTGGGGGGCCAAAGCCGCTATCGCGCGGCGCGCTGGCCTCGGTCAGGCTAAGCGTGGGTGGGTTGGTCGGGATGCGGCTGCCGCTGCCTCTTCGCGGGCCGTCATTGCTCTCGCCCGGAAATGGCACGGTTTGCGACCGCTGGCGGTTGTGCGTGATGTTTTGATGGGACATGACGGCAGCTTGGGCCGCAATCTGGCTCGCGGACAGGGCGCCCTGCTGCGGCATACCGACGTGCGATAGATTGGACATTGTCGTGGACGGCAGCGACGGCTCAAACATGCCTTGCGTGGCGGCATGCTTCCGCGACTCCGTCTTGTGCTGTGTGGACGGCGAGCCGTGGGTGACGACGCGCGGTGAGCCGGGATTCGGGCGCGAGAAAGAGAAGCTGGCCAGACTGGAGCTGCTGTTATTGGTGTGCGAGGTGAACTGGGAGTATATGGGTGTAGCCGGCGAGGCGACTCGCTGGCGCGGCTTGTTGACAGTGATCGAGGGCGCCCCGGTCGAGGAGAGGGCGGCGGCGGTGGCGGCAGCGTTACTGGCGCTCTCTTCGGAGAAGGACGAATCGAGCCGGAGAGGCGGCGGCGGTCGACGGGAGAGCGAGACGGGACGCTGTTGTTTCTGTTGCTGCTGCTGCTGCTGCTGCTGCTGCTGCTGCCTGTTGTGTAGGGCGGCGCTGGCGGCGGCGGCAGAGGATGAGGCCGACGGAGACGCAGTGGTGTTGGAGGCCGACGTCAGCGGCGAGAAGCTGCCTGGCGGCCGACCATGACGGCCGGACGTGGGCGCTCCGGGTCCCTGCGCAGGCGGCATTGGGTTCGCAGGCAGGAAGCTTGGTGGTCTTTTCGTAACGATTGGTCGGTCGATGTCAACTCCGGTTACATCTTGGGTCGGGCAGTAGCGCCCATTAGACGATCAGCGCGCGTTGCAGCGGATGGAAAGAAGCTGGTTGGGCTGCTCGCCCTCCGAGGGCATTTGGTGGTGGGCGAAGACGGGCGAGGGCCAAGAGTTTCGTCGGCGGGGCTACAGAGTGCGATCGGAGGAACCAGTCGTTGGATGAGACAAGGCGTTGGATGACTCCGCTGATGAAGACTTGCGACGGAGAGATGGGAGCAGGAAGCGACGGATGCTTGTTTGAAGGGATTGGTTGATGTAACTTGGCGCTGTGTAGGTAGTAGGTACCTAGGTATGCAGCTGGAGCAAGGCAAACACAGCAACGTCAGGACGAGGCTCTAGCTCAACACGACTTGGTGTCGCTAGGACAGGGTCGGACGACGCCCAGCTGGTGAGGGACCCTTCCCCGGCCCAGATCCTGGAGAATGAGGCCTGAGCTGAGCCACCGCCGCGACATGGGCATCTACCTCGGCAAGGAGCAAAAAGGTAGTCACAGAAGCCAATTCTACTAGAATTGATATTCTGGATATATTCCGTCGAGCACAAGAAGCTCGTGAAATGCCATCTCGTTGAATAGGTACCTACCTCTAGGTACCTACCTGTACGTACTTGTCCCACCCTAGCGCACTTACAGGGAGCTTGGGCCTTTTGTGGGCGGGTGGCATGGACCATTGTCTGAACCCCGCGCCGGCCATGAGACACTAAAATAAAAACGACCCGACTCCGCCAAAAGGCAATCTTCAACCTCGAATCTCCCCCCAAGACAGCAAACGTTCGACGCCCTGTTTCCTACACAAGATCGAAAGAAGAGAGTTCCCATCTTCCGATTACTGTCAACAGAGTCCAACCTCAACATGTCTCAGCCAACCACCCTGACGGCCACCTACGCCTCCCCCACCAACGACGCCTTTGCCCTCTCCAGCACGCTGCCCCTCTCCGACGACGACAAGACGGCGTACCTCGGCGCGCTGCGAGCCGCCGTCGGCGAGGCCCAGGCCACCATCAACAAGGAGCTCACGGCGCGCATGGAAGAGGACAAGGCGCGGGACGCGGGCGCGGCTGCCGCGGCCGGCGACGACGCCAAGGAGGAGGAAAACTATGGCGAGGACGTGCAGGAAGGGGAGGACTGAGCAGATGCATTACGGCAATAACGGACGCGATCTTTGGGGGGGGGGCGTATTTATGTGTATTCGTCGGGAATAGCTATGACTATGCTAGAGGATTGGGGGGGGAGGGCAAGGAAAGGCGGACACATATGGTACAACAAACGGCGCGGGGTATTTACTTTGCGGCGACATGACATCGCATCGCGGCGCTCTGCTTCTTCTTCAACAAACACCAACGGCAGCAGCAGAGAGACAACCTACTAGTGCCGGGCCCAGCTCGGCGTCTTTGATCGCTGGTCCCCTCCCATGCTGCTCAGACACCCCCAGTGCACAACCGTGTTATCCGGGAGCACCGCCACCACGCTGCCGCCGCCGACGCGCATGCCGCCACCCAGCCGCCGATGGCAGACGACGCACAGCTTCTCGTCGGTAATCGCCACGTGCCTGTTGCGTCCCGCCAGCTTGCCTGCAGTACCCACGTGCAGCTCCGCGGCGACGGCGATGCCCTCGGCCTTGCGCAGGGCCGCCACCACCTGCGCCTCGTGCACCATGCTGTTGGCCGCCCGGATGCGCCCGCCAAAGTACGACTCGAGCGCCCGCACCGGCAGGTCGTCGGGGATGAGGCTCAGCGACGACGCCGCGGGGAGGCGCGCGCCGTGCTTGGAGAGGAGGTCGAGCGCCGGCGCTAGCTGCGATTTGTGCGGCGACGGCGGTTGGAGATATAGGGAGAGCAGCGTGTGGTAGATGGAGGGCGCGTCGTCTCCATCTTCGTCGTCGGATGCATCATGAGGAGCTGGCGTAGGAGCTTGGCGTTGAATACGATTACAGTATCTAGACGGAGTTAGCCCGGCAATGAATGCAGTGCCGTTTGAGATCACGCCAACGTACTCTTCTGCCTTGGCATAGTTTTGCATCTTGAAGACAAAAATCTCCAAGGCCTGTTTATGCTGTCCCATGTTGCTGAGCACCACAGCCTGCGCCTCGTAAAAGAACGGATCTATTTCTTGTCAGCATCAAGCCTAGCCCTCTTATGTTTGTTTTGCGCAGGGCACTTCTACTAACCATTTCTCGGAATCGTGGAAAACGCCTTGCCGAGACTGTACACGGGGTTCGGCGCCTGCAGAAACTTGATGAAGCGCCCCATCAGCGGCTCCCACTCGTCATCGCCGTGCTGCATGTTCTCGAGCGCCGAAATGTAGAGCTCGACGAGCCTGTTGTGCAGGTCCGGCGTCGCGTCCTCGAGCTCCATGACGACGTGCTCGAGGTACTGCCGCTCGAGCGCGGGCTCAATCGTCTGCAAAAAGGCGGCGACGCGCGCCCGCGGCAGCGTCTCCGCGTTTTCCGTGTCGCCTGTGAAAATCTCCATGGCAAACGCCGGACTGGCGCGCAGCGTCCACGCGGCATGCTCGAGTATCAGGTCCGTCTCCGACGAGGGCATCGTCTGCAGGTACTGGATGGTGCGGTTCGGGCCGTGCAGCAGCGCCGGCGCGCGCGCGTCGGGCTTGGCCGCGGCGCCGAACCGCACCAGCAGCGCCAGGGCCTGCTTGTGCAGCTTCTTGCCGTGGAAGAAGTCGATGAGCTCGTTGTACCGGTCCTGCTCGACGAGCTTCTCGTGGACCACGTCCGGGTCGCAAAAGTTGGGGATGCGAAAGAGGGAGCTGGCGAGCGACGGCTGGGAGAGCATGTAGGCGCGGAACAGCGTCGTGTCCACGAGGCGAAACGTGCCTTGCAGCTTCTCTTGGAGCTGCGCTTCGCTTTCGTTTTGGCCCATGCGCAGAAAACGGTCGGTCGCATCTTCCCCTGGTGCCGAGTCTCTGGGCTTGAGAAGTCCGGTGGCGGGATCAATGACGCGCTGCAAACGTGCTCGCGTGCCGGCCAGGTATCCGTTCAGCTCAAGGACAGCCTTCATCAAGTCTTTACCTTCAAGAGGCTTGTCCGCTGATGCTGCCGAGTTTGCCGAATCTTTGTCATCCGTGGCATCGGAAGCTTCCCTCTTCACCGAAATGATCGACGCGGCGTCGGCGGCCGTCCTCCGCTGAGATCCCATAAAGTAGCCCGCGAAACGGCCGACTGCAGAGGTGCTCTCGCCAGCGTCCTCGGATTTACGCTGCGTTTCGGCGCTGACCCGGGGTGTAGCGCCGTCAGCATCGCTAGACTTGGGTTCTTCCTTGCCAGCCCATTTCGAGAGCTCGCCTGAGATCACGGGCGGATACAAGGCCAGCACCCGTTCTGGTGGTGCGTGGACATTATCCTCATTGAACAGGTCCATTGCCTTGCGATATTTCTTCTCGCCAAAGAGTATCTCTGCCTTTTGCATCTTGACCTCTCTCAGCGTCTCCATCTTGCTTTTTAGCAGCGCGTCCTCTAGCAGATTCAGGACACTGATGGCTTCGTCGTAGTTACCGGCATCAACCAGCTCCTTGACTTGCGCGTCATAATCCGTCGCGCCCATTTTCCAGACACATCGTTCACTAGAGATGTGGAAACCCTTGCCAGCATGTGCTAGGCTTACGTTTGGGGGCGGAAAGTATAGCTGGGCTGCACCAGGGAGCGATATTGTTTGTAGCAGCGAAAGGGTATCCGGATTTCGTACTTCAAGTGACCCCTTTGCTGGAGGCTGCAGAGCCACAATGTATGGGTATGAATAGCCGATAGACTCTGGCGCTGTCCCCCAAGGAATCTGCCGCTGGTTTAGTGGCTTGCCCGTGTCATCGATAAATAGCGTATTGATGTCCTTTGCGAGAAGAACCTCACCGTCCGCTAGCTTGGACGCCAGCGGTTTTGGCATGTATCCGCCCAGACCCATGTAGCCCATGCCGGCACTGCTGACGGCGCCGAAGCGGCTGCTTTGTCCGGCGGCGCCTACTGTGCCAGGCCCAGTGATATCTTCTATCTCATGGGTGAGCGCATCGACCATGACGTATCCGCCATTCATGCCGCAGACGACCTTGGTGGCACTCGCCCACGTCACACTGCGGATCGACTCGGCAAGCACCACTTCGGCGGTGTCGCCGCCGAGTTCGCACTCGTGCCAGCTCCAGAGAAGCAGGCGCCTCTTGACGGAAACAGCGAGTCGGGAGATGATTTCGGGGATGCCCGTGTCCGGGTCCTTGACAATGTTTGACGTGACGGCGAAGCCCGACGCATTCTTGGTCTTGTCGAGCGTCTCGATGAGCTCGTAGGTCTGCAGATCGTGAAGCGACACATGGTAGTTGGAGAGCGACACGATTGTATTGGCTTCCTTGATAATGGCCAGCTGCTCAATGGCGCGCGTAGAGAATTTTTCGACTTCGCGCAAGAGGTCGGTCGGTCGTGCGGAGCCGCGCGAGGATGGGCGCGGCTGGTGGTCGCTGCTGTTCGGTGGGAGGCTGCTCGATAAGGAGTTGTTGCCAGCGTGTCCGTTTTCGATGACCGGAATCGGCTCGTTGAGTCTATATATTCGAAGCGCGCCGCTGTTGAGCCCGACAAGAATGCGATCGCCTAGGAGTACACGCTGGTTAGCCTCGACTTGGGGGGTGCGGTGACGTCCCCGCCAGCTGCCGACGCCATCGCGTCTGGGCCTCTTGGACAAAACGCACCGTGGGCAAGAATTGTTTCAATCTTGGATTTGTCGCGCGGCCGCAGCTCAATGATTGGCCGCGCCGTAAATGCAGAGAGCATGGCGGGCGGGGAGGGCGAGCTCCGAAGCTGGTCAGCCTGGGCTACCTCGGATCGACGAGCATTAGTATGGGGGCGGAAGGCGTGATTGTAGGTAGCTGGCGGGAGCTCTTGGGCAGGTAGACGACGAATTCTTGAAAGGCAACGTTTGAGCAGTAGAGGTGTTGCAGCTTTGTCTTGCTTTGGGAGGGATCCGTTGCCGTGAACGTCTCAACATAAGTAGCGTCGACGTCAGGTGCCACTAGTCGCCGTACCCAACATGAAGGCTTCCACCCTAGAGCTCTCAAGAGTATTTACGCCGACAACAACTCAATTACAACAAAGGATCGTAAATGGAAAATATATTGCCAAATATGTAGATATGTGCATTTCTCTGTTTTCCGAAACTTGGCGTACCTTTTGAGAGTAATAAATTCTACCTACTTGAGCAACTACTATAGATGGCCTAAATAGGACTTTAACTGGTACAAAACAGAAAATAAATCATGACGGACTCGTTCATACATCACTCATCGTGTAGTCAAAGTACCCGGCCTTGCATTTACTTAGTCTAGAAAGTCTAGAAAGTCCAGAAAGCCTAGAAAGTCTAGAACGACTAGAGAGTCTAGAAGGAAACCTTGTCGGAAAGCCAGGGAGTCTGTTACGACTAGAGAGTCTCGGAAAGCCAGGGAGTCTGGAAAGAAACCATTTCGGAAGGCCAGACTCCTTGAAAACTCTGGTGGAAAGTACCAAGATGATAATGGCCAGCTGCTCAATGGCGCGCGTAGAGAACCATGTCGCCTCGACGTACCGCAATCTTGATGGCAGTGTCTGCTAAGTCATTCCCTTGGTTTTCACCCGCACCATTCTTGATTAGAATCTTCGCCATGTCCCACTCTCCCCAATTGACTGCCACAAGGAGTGGTGTCCTTTCTCGCTCGTGACAATAGTTTTACAACACGATGTGTGTACTCTCGCCGTTTTGAAGCCCGGACTCCAGTGCTCTCTGGGAGGTCGAGAGAATATTCCCTTTTGATGGCGTCCAGAAGCCGCTTGGATATTTTTTTCATTGAGGAATAAACTGAGTCGTACCAGAGCACATCGTAAGGCAGGTCCAAATTCTTCTTGTGGTGGGCCGTGAGGAGGAGCTCGGCTGCTTGGATATTGTTTTCTTCGAGGGCTACTGACAATGGTGATATGTAGCCTTCAATCTCCAGGCTGGCACCTTTCTCAAGTAGCAGTTCCACGAACTTGTTCTTCTTCCTACCTGTAGCATAGCCGAGGAGACTTACACGAAGCTCTCCATTCATGCCGCACTTGGCATCGGGACTGAGACCAAATTTCAAAAGAAGTTTCATAGACTCGAGCCCCTTTTCCTCCGTAAGAAAGGGCTTACGAATTCCAAAGATGGGTCCGGCTGGAAAGTAACCGCCGCGAACAAGATGTCCGAGAAGATACTGAGGAATAGCACCTTCCGTCGACGGTATCAGATACTCATTTTCGAGCAGGAACTCCAGACACGAGGTAGTTGGAGCAACGCAGGCCGCTGCATAAAGCGGCGTACACTGCTCCTCTGGCGGTACGCCTAGGAAATGATCCTTTGAGGAGCAAGCTGCCTTTAGTTGTGCTTTTCTTTCGGCCAAGACCTTCAAGATAGTTGTATCGGATTGGCGGGCGGCCCAATACACCGCTGTATCTGGCGTTGCGCTCGACGTCATGCCCATCTTCATTCCACAGCCCAGCAACATCTCTGTGAACTCGACTTCTCCTCGCTTCACACTCCCAATGAGGGGTTCGGCGCAAGACTGGGGGTCGGCTCCGTCCCTCAATAACATCTCGAATGTCGATTTCGAAACCTCAGCCCCAAGTCCACTATCAACATCCATCAACAGATGTTTACCGTGTTCCATTATTGTTCGCACCATGGCTTCCTTATGTCTCTTGGCGGCAAGCAGTAAAGCTGCGTCAATCGTAGAAGCCGCAATCTTGCCCTGGATGTCCTCATCATCCTTAATTTTCTTGGCGTAATATCCTGACTTGGGACGAGGAGTCTGACGCCACTTTTCAAGTGTTCCTGGGGGAATACGGGGAGTGTTGTTGAGCCACGTCTCGAGCCTCGCTGCTGACAACCCAAGACGCAAACTCGATTCCCGATCGATCGGGTCGAAGATAAAATCTCGCTAGCATCTCGCAAATGTTGTTGCAGGAACCTGCCAGCAAAAATTGGTCTTGTTTGTTCAACCGATCCGCAATAAGGAGCACGACATCGAGTGGGAGGTTGGGTAGCCAAGCATGGCTCTCGAAGTTGATAAGGGCCATTTTGAGAAAACTCGGGAGAATGGAAAGCGCTGCATTCAGGTAGGTCTGTTGGATATTGTGGAGTGATAATGATGATGATGGAAGAATCCATAAGAAGATAGAAGGTATCATGAGAACAAATACAGGACGAGCCTAGTGGATCAGACGCGTACAGATTAGGTTGAAGTCATTTTTGTTGTCCTCGTATAACGTTGGGCTTTATCTGGTGAGACTTCAAGAGCGTCACGCCCGGCCCCTCGCTAAGTGTTGTACATGCATGATTTGGTGTTATTTTGGGGTGCCAAAGTCTTGCCTGGCAGGCTAGACATACCACGACGAGGTTTAGGCTCAGCGGCATCTTCCGCCCCTGCCATTTGGACTGTAGGCCGGAGGAAATAAGTGAAGCGAGACTGTAGGGGTAACAGAGATAGCTTCAACACTCGCTGGGTATGACCCGATGGAAGCTTGACAGAATGGTGTGACGTTGTGCCAGGGACCAACGTGAAAATGCGTGACTAGTATTGGTTTCTGCTATGCAGCATAAAGCCTCTCGACGAGAGTCCCGGTACGCATTTCCGACATTCTTTAAGCAAAAAGCTACACCGTTTTGGCTGCTGCCGCGATCCCCGCCTCGGCGATCCGCCCATCGTCCTCAAACGTCAACATTGCGCGAACCTCGTCCCATCCTACCCAGAGCGCCTCAAAGTCCTCGCCCTCTTGCTGCGTGCCCTCGTCCCGCACCGCCGTCGAGTCTGCCGCTGCCACAAACCAAAAGATGATCTTCCGCACACCCTCGGTGACGCGCTGCGAGACGGCCAGGGGTTCCGTCACGGACGAGCTCGGTGCAGCAGCAGCAGCAGCGGTGGCGCGTGTGGTGATGGGGACGGGAAGAAGCTGCGCGCGCACGCCCGTCTCCTCCCAGGTCTCGCGCAGCGCAGCATCGCGCAGGGACTCGTGCACGTCTTTGCGGCCCTTGGGGAGATGGAACTCGTTGGTCTCGCGGTGGCGGATGATGAGCACCTGGGACGTGGCGGTATCGACGGTAATGGTTCCGCAGCTGATGACAAAGCTGTCCGAGAAATGGAGGCTTTTGTTGCTGGACGCCATTTTGACGTGTTGACTGAGTCAAAAGTAAGTTGTCAAAGAAGCACAAGAGTTGTTACCGCTAGGTAGATTCCATGGCCCCACAGGTAGTCGGTGACTCTTCACGATTGACTTCACCTCATACCATTTCTATCATACTCTTAAAATTTCTTACCTATATCATCTTTTGGTACCTATGCAACATCAAGGCCAAACATCGACCTGAAAACAATAAAAAGGAACAAAGCTTAATGACATTCAGGAGACGTATATATGGGTATATGCTAAACGAGCCCATCTCGTAGGTTTCCAAACACAACTAGCCATCGCATCCATCTATTAGGAGCAAAAGGAAAAAAAACACCATTAGTCGTTACATTGTGATTCATAACTGCGTCACCAATCATTCATTCTGTCCTAGTCGCCCGGCGACCAAGGTAAATCCCTCTCTCGCACCGAAGTGCACGTCAAATATCGTATCCCATCGCTTGGTGGTTTTCCGCCTGCGGTGCCAGCAGCGAGGTCCAGTTCCAGACTGCTCCCCATCAACGGGGCTACGATTTCTCTGGCCATGGCTTTGAGCTCGTCCAATCGCTTCTCAAAGCGCCGTAGATGATCGCGACTATATAGTTCGGGCGTCCGTTTGAGAAAGTCTTTGCACTCGCTGTGTGCAAGGTATGCCGTCGGTCTTCCCGCCAGCGTGCGAAATGCACGGCCAAGGGCTCCTAGCGCAGGGAGCGGTGCAAAGGCACCACTGTTCGCTAATGCCGACGAGGACTTTTGATTATCGGCTGTCCGCCTGGACGGCGGTGGTGGCGAGGTATTGTCAGTAAGCCACTGTCGAAAGTAACTCACTGCGAGCCAGTCCAAGTAACTTGAAGCGGGTGTGACACGGTCCCCGCGAGAATCTAGCAGGGTTAGGCGAAACAGCCGGCGCTCGACGCGGCTGACCGTAAACTCGAGATCGTCCACCTTGTCCTCGATGAGATCCAGAACAGACTCCGGCATGGATGCACGCAGACTGCGTTCGCCAACAGGCCATTGACCAACTACGTGAACGAGAGCCTCCTGGAAGATGACCTTTGAGCGGGACAAGTAGCCCACGCGCAGGTAGGACACGGGGTATTTGGCGATTTGTTTCCACAAGCGAGCTTGAAACTGCAATAAGTGATGATCGACCCGGGGCCCGACGACGGCTAGCGAATCATACTGATCGGCCAAGCTGAGGAGGCGTTTGCACTGGATATAAGCATCCGCGACATTGACACCATCAAGAAGAGGCGGGTAGTTGTAGAAAATACGAAATAAATTATCGTAATCGCGGACGAGATCTTCTTCCTCTGGAACGGCGACGATGACTGTATTGTTACCTCGAGCTCGCGATCGCGGTTGTGACGTCAAGCTAAGATTGGCGAGAGACTGGGAGAAAGAGGATCGATGACCTTTCGCAGCGGGGGGTACGGCGCGTGGCTGCGAATTGCTGTGACGCGATCTGCTTAGAGGTCCCGAATCAGGGCCATAGCTAGACCCTGGTTTGGGAGTCGCGAATATTGACTGATGCGCAGGCTGCACGGCATCGGCGTTCCCCGGATCCTTCTGAACCAGCATCGGGATATCGTCATCCCCACGACCGGGATCTAGTTCATAGCGCCATCGTTTATTGCCACAGATAGAAACGGCAGCGGGTTGACCAGCACCGGTGGACGAGTCGGCTTGGCTCAAGACGGAGCCGTTTGGATTGACACAGGCGACTTCATTCCCTGCTGCGAGCCGACGAACTTTGGGTTTAGAGGGATCCGGACCCTGAACGCGAGACCATTCCTCCGATGTGCTGGCTTCAAAAAAACCACTGCAGCGAGTGAGAATTTCTCGGTGAAGAAGATATCGGTTTTCGAGCGGCCCAGCTGTAATTATTATCTCGACCTCGCCGGACTGCGTAAAGACTGGAAATTCGTTGAGGGGCGCATAGGATTCGCCGCCGGCATGCGAGCGATTGTATCGCTTCGAACGCGAGCTTGTCTGGCCGCTGTGCCGGGACGGGATAGCAGAGGCAGCAGATGAATTGCCGTGGCCGTGGCGATGCTGTAGATTATACTGCGCCGTCGGGTCTGGTTGCGACACCATTGGTGCGGGTAGGGTAGAGCCGATGGCGCAATAGAAAAAGCACCGTGGGAAGAGTGAGGTAAATGCGACACGATGGCAGAGTGTGGAAGGGACGATGCGTTTTCCTGTCAAGTTGCCACAGGCGACGGTGCTCACGTCGCGTTGTGTCGATTTCGCGGTGACATGCAGGTGTGTTTAGCTGGCTATGCCTTGTGACAGGCTGCACGAGACTCGATCTGGTCAGTTGTGGGAGGCCCAGCAATGTCCAAAGTCTGGCGATGAGTCGGCCAAAGAGGACAGAAATGTAAGGTTGTATGGCGGCAGAATGCCTTCGCGATGAAACAGTAGAGCGAGAAATGAGAGAGCAGAAACGAGCGATGCACCATACATACGAGAGCCGAAAATAGAGTCTGAGAGCTTCTCCATGTGCCACCCCACTGTCCTCAGTTGTAGACGACAGACGACGAGCCCCTCCCAACTGCCAATAGCGACCGTTCCGTCACAGGCCAAGTATGAAACAAAGCAAGGCAGAGAGGCCCTTGTCGCTGGATGTCGCGTCAGGCGGCATGCCCCTAGTGGGCAGGGCGAGGAGATAAATGGGCTGAAGGCGCTGAAGGCTTGTCGGGTGCTTCACGGCCGTCCAAGAAGGAATAGGTTTTAACGCCCCCGCCACGAGAGGCATCCAGAAAAACGCCTAGCAGCTGCAGGTTGATTGGCAGCGGACGAATCGGCGTTGAGGAGAGCGCTGAGCGCCGAGACCACTACCGCTAGCGTTGAGAGTGGGAGAGATCACCGACCAGTCACGGATAAGAAGTCGTTGGATGGCGGTTTGCTCTTAATGGCATGTGGGTGGTTAAGAAGGGGAGGGTATCTGACGATGGAGGAAGAAATGAATGAAAGTGGCGATGTTTTCTTCTCCATGGCATGGTGTTGTGGTTCAAAAGTTGCCGGCTGGCTGGCAGCTGGCAGTTGCAAGTCCCAAGGCAATTGTCCCCAGATATCGCCGTTTGCCACCAGTAAGTCGGCATCTCTTTTCGGTTGATTCACCTCATCAAGCTACCTACATAGCTTCGTTTAATCACTTTTCGCCGTCTAATTAGTTACCTAGATAAACGGACCATGTAAATTCATGGACGTGTGCGGTTCGAGAGAGGCGAGGCCTCAGGCCCCACAGAAGCTTCCGTGAAAGTTGCCCGTCACTGCCAAACTACCTACTAATATTTGTCCTTACATTGACATCACCTGGTGGGCATCTGGTCAACCCACGATGGAATGAGTGGGATTACGCCCGTTTTCAACAGTGTCGTACGACCTGTTACAGTATCAGAATTTCGTGAAGCAATTCTAGCAACATGCAAGCCGCGCTTCCCCAATGTGCGGCTTGCGCGAAGGCGGCCCATCGGTAAGGCATTTCATCTCAACAACCGAGTTTCGGCACTAACGGACTTCAAGGCCTTGCCGTTAGCGGAGGAGTTGATTCCATGGCATTGGCATATCTTTTCTCGCACTACATTAAGACATACAAGTCGCAGCACATCGCCGATAACCCGGTTCACGATGTCCTCGCCGTCACTGTTGATCACCGTTTGCGACCCGAGAGCACAGCAGAGGCAGCCAAAGTAGCCGCGAATGTCAGACACCTTGGATTGAGAGCGCTCGTTCTCCGAATTAATTGGTCAGACCATCTGGGACCAGATGTTGTCCCAAGCAAGCAACCGAACATCGAGAGCATGGCGAGGACTCTTCGATACCGCGCCTTGGGCTCCCTCTTCTTGAAGCAGAATGTCATGAGCCTCTTTTTTGGGCACCATAGAGACGATCAATACGAAACAATACTTATGCGATTACTTTCTGGTCATGGCTATCGTGGTCTGCAGGGCATACACAAGGCAAATTCTATTCCTGCATGCTACGACATGTATGGCGCCTACAAGAGCGGCTTGGTTGACGACCAATTGCGCCTACGTCCATTCCTCAAATTTAGCCCAGCTGGTCGAGAGATGAGGGCACTACGGAACAGGCTGAAGTTGGAAAGCACGCTCCCTGGTTTCGAGCAGTTCCGATCATACCTTGGCATCAACGATCTATCAGCTCGACTCCCTGGCCAGCTGCAACACGATCTCGATGTCAGTCTTCCATACCTGCCACCATTGAGCGTTGAAGATGGTGGAATCACCATCTACAGACCGTTACTGGAGTTCGACAAGGCAAGACTTATTGCTACTTGCGAGGCGAATCGCGTGCCTTGGTTTGAAGATGGCACAAATGTTGATGCAACGTTGACAACACGCAACGCCCTACGGAAGATATGCAGAGATTACGAGCTCCCACGAGCCCTTCAGAAGCCCTCAATCCTGGCCTTGGCCGAGCGTTCGAGACAAAGGGTTCACAACGAGGAAAATGAGGCGTCACGCATTATACGCCACCAAAGGACTATAGTCGACTTTGATCCAAATGTTGGGTCGCTACTCGTGGATTTACCTCTGCTCAAAATTGGAAGGGCTATGAACGGACGTCACAACCAGACAGCCAGAGATGAGGCTCGGCTCGGAAGGCAGCGACTGCTTGCCGCCACCATTACACGCAAGTTGATAAGCTTCGTGACCCCTGACAAACACCTCCCCCCGATCTCGAATCTTGAAAATACAGTCAGGCGTCTCTTTCCTTTCTTATATACTGATGCAAATACTGTTGAGCTTGGAGGCGCGGGCCGCAAGGCGTTCTCCATTGCTGGTGTGCAATTTGAACCAGTGCCAAGCTACAAGTCGACCCGATGGTCCATATCCCGGACGCCATTCTCCTCCAATTACCTCCGTGAAGTAACTGCAAAACCAGAAACTACAATCGAACGCCCTAGATGGGTGTCAAGTCCCACCCCGCTCCCGTGGGAAGCACCGAGTGACCCAACCTGGAAGACTTGGAAATCGGCCTTGCTTTGGGATGGACGCTTTTGGATTCGACTCAACTCGTGTGACCGCCGGAATGGACTGCATGTACTACCGTTACTAGCCAGCCACACCAAAGCTTTTAAAGCCGCTTTGACTCCCAAGGGGCGCGCTCGATTCGAGAAGCTTCTCAAATACCATGCACCAGGAAAAGTGCGTTATACGTTGCCGGGTATATACGCTGTCGAGAAGTCAAGCGGCCCCCAAGAGGGCATTGGTCAAGCCCAACGTAAAATGATGCTGCTCGCTCTGCCCACTCTTGGAGTTCAAATTGCTGGTTTGGAGAAATGGGTACGATATGATGCCAGATACAAAAATGTCGACACGCAGCTCCTAGGCAAAGGGAACTATAGCAAAACATCAAGGATGCACGAGTTCACCGCACGCATTGGTGTCTCTCGGAAACTGAGGCAGCAACGGATGCACAGAATGCATGGAAAAACGCCAACATAATACATATACCTATTTGATGCTTTCACGCTACAACCTTGTCAATTATAATGCCTTTGATACCAAGGCCGTGGCTATTCTTAAAACACCGTGCTAATCGGTGTGGTAACACGTGGCTTGACTGCAAGAGGAGGAGGGCCATTATTCGACGCAGCATTATCCAGCATTGCTGCTCGGTCCTCGTCTTCACTGCGGCAGCCAGGCCGTGTCGGGATAAGAAAAGAAACGCCGATCCCACATGCTAACAAAGCCCGGAATGACCACGTCCAACTACTCGTCGGCAGCGTGGTCTTGATTCAAACAAATTCTCGACTACCTGTCACACTAGCCTGCTTGGCCATTACTCGTAGTGTGTTACCTGCCGAGCTTGCAACCTGCCTCTCCCGTTATGGCGCGGCGCCCTCTCCGTGATGATGTGCACTTCGGACCGGGCACTCCGGATGCGCTTTTTTAGTTTGGTGTGGTCTTGCATGGGCGGACGCAAGTCATTGCCTGAGGGGACTCTTGGCTGATGACCTGCCGGGACATCCAATATACCATTTGCGATCAGGTGCGCCTCAAAGTCGGTATCGGGACGCGGGTTCGCCACATCCTGCGGGCCCTGGCGGAGATAGTGCCGGGCAATGTGCTTCAAGCGGCGATTGTACACGTCGACGGCGACGCGGTCCTTGGCGTAGTCGTCGTGGTGGATGGGAAACTTTTCGTCGCAGAACCAGCACCCCGAAATCCTGGGCATCCGGTAGGCCATGTGCGTCTTGGCCATGTGGTCGGCCCAGGCGCCGATGCCCGCCTCGGACCGGTGCAGTGGAAACGTGAGTGTACAGCCCTTGTACCGCGCAAACTCGCAGGGCAGGTGTGCCACGACCTCGGTGGCGTCCAAGCTGGTGGTGGTAGACCGGGCGCCGGGGGAGGAGGCGTTCCACGATGCCATAGCCGTGGCCGATGACGCCTGCAGGCCGGTGGGCGACTGGTCCACGCCAATGTTGTTCCAGTGATGGGGGTGGACAATGTTGGACGGCGCCGGGAACTCGACGGTGACAATCTCAGGCAGCTCGTCGACGGCGCCGAGCAGCGCGGCGTCCATGGCGCGCTGGGCCATAGACTCGGCCTCGGTTATCGACGCGGCCGTCTTGGCGTCGTGAAGGTTGCTAAAGATGGAGCCATGGCCGCCGCCGCGGCCGCCGCGGACGCTGAAGACGTCGCGGCCGTCTGCGTCGTACGAAACGGAGCTGGCGGTGGTGGTGCTGTCGCCGCACTCGGACGGCTGGAAGCGCGGGCGGCGGGTGTCTTCGCGGCCGTCACCGGTGCAGTCGGACGAGGCGATGGAGGATGCATAGCGATAGCCCATGGGCAGGCTGGCGAAGAGGCCGGCGAGGTCTTGGTCGGTGTTGTTGCCCAGATTAAGGTCCGTGTCATAGTGAGATGGCAGGATGTCGGAGGCAGGCCCGCCCATGTGGGCGAGAAAAGAGTCGGCAGGCTGTGCCATGGAAACGACTTGTGTGATGGAGCGGGCAATCTGATGTGTTTGAGGGCAGCTCTGGCCCGCTGAGTTCTCATCTCTTTTTGGTTGGGCGTAAGCTTCTGTCACACGGCTGCCAGCAACAATCAACCTCGGAGGTATGTAAGGGAGGTGTGTGTGTGGGTGTTGAATGTGTTGGACACCCGCTGGAAGTATGTAGGAGAGGGGGATGGAGATGGGGTAGGCGGTATATCGCGACTGACTCTTCCCAAACACTGGATGCCGTCTGAAAGAGTGTGGAGGCAGCCAGCGCCTTGGTGTTGTAGGTGCTTGTGAGTGAGAAGGAGGGGAAAAATCGATGACTTTTTTTTTTTTTTTTGATCCTGGGAGGGGATCCGTCGGAGGGAGGGGATATATATTCGTAAGAACCCTGGGCGGTTATCTGGCGACAGCGCTCCAAAACACCTCATCCAGCCAGCTCATGCCACCAGCTCCAACTTGCAAGTTAGTTAGCGGGGGGTGAAGAGCGCCACGGATGCTTGATGCATGCTGTTATTCGTTGTCATGCATGCTTCTGGTGTGTGTGCTTGGCTGCTGGTGCTTTACTAGTAAACGTTTGCTGGCGTGGACGAAGGATGCATGACGGTGGGGGCGGAGCTGGTTCACGGAGTGTTGTCGGAGAAGAGCTAGTTAGGGCACATCTCTTCCGCGGGATATTGAAACCGTCTTGTAGTATTGCAGGTAAACCTATTATCTATCTACTGGCATGCAACTACAGTGCTGATGATCAGCTGCTCTAGGATCAATCTGCCATGTCCTGACACGCCATGCAACCGGCGGACTATTTGCTTGGCGAGCTTCTATCAAGAGATGCTCTCACCCCCCCTGCTAGCGTTTGGCCATTCTCTCACACGCGCAGGTAGTTTGGGCCAACCAGCAGAATGGGTAGACGGCTCCAACTCTCGGCACGGCCAGCAAAGATGTAGCTGACCTGCAGAGTAAACGAGAGAGGGATGAGAGAGCATATTCTCGCCGAGCCGAACAACTCACGAGACGGCGCGCCATGGATTGAATATATTAAATCAAACCTCTACGCTGTACAGGCGGTAGACTATCAAAGGCCATCCCGCGGGCGCGATCAAGAAGACAAAAAATCCCAAGACCTGCAACCGTGTAGCATGCATGCGATGCGGCATGACGGCAAACACCTGTGTGACGCTGGTCCTACCCTCTGGGAAGAACGGCCGGCCGCCCCCCGGAAAGGCTGGCCAAAAAGGCCTGATTCATGCTAGCAGTGCAAAAGCACAACTTAATTACCCCTCATCAGCCGCCAACGGTGGGGGCAACGCTTTAGGCTGTTCAGCGGAAGCCGTGGAATGTCTCGGCTAAGGTTCTAGACGATGGGGGAAGGAATGAGGCGGGAGGGGAGAATGAACGGGGAATTCAAAGAGCTGGTCGGTTTACATGTATGAGACAAGTCAAGTGAGCAAGAAAAAGAGACAACAAACCGCCGGAACTGAGTGTTTGGTAATCCGTACAGGTTGTCCCCAAGTCGTGATACCTTGGGCAACTTCATTTCTCATACCCAAGGTTGTACACGATTCCAAACTCAATTCCAACTACGTCCCAAAGGTCAATGAAGACACCCTCCTCCTGTGCGATCCGTCCTCTTGCCTATGCCATCCGTGGTACATGTTGGTGACGGCCAGCGCGCCCACGTCTAACCCGCCAACGCCCATCTTGCGGACCCTGGTGGGCAAATGGTCCAGCATGGTAAGACGGCGCTGCCGAGAGAGCTGCATCTTCTCAATGATCAATGCACAGAATAAAGTACCCCAAGGCGAGAGTCAAAATATGCATCAGTAGAGCAGACATGCCTGGTTCAGCACCATCTCCATCATGCTGTCACAGGCCTTCCATCGCACACAAGACCGGGACATAATCGGATAAAAAACGTCATTCATCATCTTACATAGGATACATGGCGCCTCTACTTAAACACTGTGCTTCCCAGGCGCTCAATCTCGCGCCCCTCTTGCGTGCCCCGGCCCGCCAGCTCCAGCAGTCGCTGCCACGATGCCGCGTCCTTGAGCCGCACCGCCTCCTCGGCCGCCTTGACGCGCATGCCGCACGCCTCGTACATTTCAATCGTCTCGCCCGTTTCCAGGCCCGTGCACTTGGACACAAACTGCGACGCCAGTCGCGGGTTGCCCGCCTGGAGCGTGAGCTTGTAAAAGGGCTATATTTGTTCAACGTTAGCAAACCATTGTTCCCCGAGTGCAAGAATATACCGCAAGATATAGCAACACAACGCACCTTCCATCCGATGGGGCTCTTCTTGGCCTTGGCGATATCCTCAATCTCGTTCCACTCGCGCTTCGCAATGAGCGCCTTCAACCGGATCCACCACGCCACCTTGTCGGGGACGCGGAACTCGCTCTGTATCTTCTTAGCTCGCCCGTTGTAGCCCAGTTGGATGAGCTTGGCCATGGTCTCATTGACGCTCAAGCCGTAAAACTTTTCTGTTAAATCACGATCTAGGGCTTCCTGCATCCGCAACAGCGCCGACGCTTCTTTAATGGCATGCGCCTCCACAGCAGCCTCCTTGGCGTCAGACAGTAGTTTCCCCGCAAGAGAGAGCTTGTCTACCGTCGTTCGTACATCGGACTGGTGAAGTGACTCTTGGATAAACACGTTGGCGCCATCGACGCGACGGTCATCCTGATAGTACAAGTCTTTCAGCATAGCGTTGTCGCGCTTTTGCAGCGCCCATGACTCGACGAGCGCCGTCGCCACAGGCCGTGAGTTGATGATGCGGAAGAATTGCGAGGGTGCCGTTTTCTTTTTCAAGTGTTGCAAGACAAATAGAATCAGGTCTGTGTCTCCACTGTCCACGGCCTTGTCCAGCGCCAGTTCATCCTCCTCCATGTCGAGCAGAAGGGGCACCTGCTTGCCACCGCGGGGTTCGTGGTTCAGCAGTTCCGTCGCCAGTCTGCTACGCCCTTCGTGATGTGCGGCACGAGCAATCTCCTCAAAGGAGATGCCAGGTTTGCCTGAGAGTCGCTCCACCACGAGCCTGCACACACTATCATCGTCTTCAGTGCCAATGCGGACCTTGGAGGATGCCCAGTGAGTATAGATCCTATCTGAAGACAGCTTTAAGTAGGACGCAATCTTTAGCGCGAGCTGGTACTCGTGTCGCGTCAAAAGCCGGTTGATGAGACGCTCCGGCGTGAGATGCTGGTACTGTTCAAATGAAATGGGGAGGCCGATTGTATAGAAGCGGACTGCGTTTAGCACTCGCAACGTTGTACACATGTCCACAAAGTCATCGCTGTTGTATATATCGAGGACCGACTTGCCAAACGACGCTGCTTTGAGGAGACGTTTCTGCCAGTTGGTATCAAGCTCACGCCCAGCGGCATTGACGCAGGTATCGACTGCCTCTGTCAAGTTTGGTCTGATGAGCTGGATATAGTCGTCTGCCTTTGGTGACTCCATCTCTAGCTGGCCAACTGCGTCCAGTAATATCGATGCCGGCGACGACTCTGTCGCTGCGCCAAAAGCCTGGATCGTGACATCCGGTACTCTTTCAAGAAACTCACAAAAGTCATTCGTTATTAGACGGGCGCCATCAGGCTCTGAACGGCATTAGCAGTGAGACTAGGCAAGAGTGAGTGAAAGCGTACCAGAGATGACATGCACCCGTGTGGTGTCGTATATATATGAAGCTGACTGGTCTTCTGGTCCTATAATATGGACCTCGTCCTCCCAGGCAATGATGGCATCCGAGCCACACCACTCCACATATTGCGGCGGCGTCTTGGACTCGGACTCGTGCACAAACTCGAGATCCTGTAGGTCGCTCGACGTAACGTGTGCCTTGCCGTCGCGGGCATACAGCGTGACGAAGCGGCCGTCGGGCGACACGCTGATGTGGCTCAGCGAACCAAACTCGGGCAGGCGGTCCTCGCAGTCGGCGGCGTCGAGAATGTACACGGTGCTCTCAATGCTCAGCAGGACCTCGACGGAGCGCGACAGGGTGTACGCCGGCGGTACAATGGCCCATGCGCTAATATCACCGCCGGGCGGCGTGGCGAGCAGCTTCGGGCGCGGCTCCGTGTAGGAAGCCACGGTGACGAGGGTGTTGTTGCCGAGCAGGGCCACCATACCGCTGTTGTAGAAGCTGTTTTCACGGTCAGCGACAACACGCACGACTATGCACATGATCCAGGAGAGAAGGACAAACCGGCAGGATTCCACGCCATAGTTGTCGGCGCCGTGGCCGAGGGAAAAGTGGCTAAAGTCGCCCTGCAGGTCGTAGCAGCGCACATGACCGTCGGCGGCGACGACGAGCAGCGTCTCGGCATCGGACCAGCCCAGCCCCTTGATCGGGCCCTTGTCCCACGCGATGCCGCGGAGCTTCTGGCCGGCGAGGCTGTAAATGTCTATCGAGGGCTTGGACGGCTGGCCCGGCTGGTGGGCCTGGAGCTTGTTCTCGTCCGGCCAGAGGGCTGGAGACTCAATCGTCAGCAGTGTGGGCGGAGAGAGAAGCTATACAAGGCATGGATGGGTGCTGGTGTGCCTGTCAACGTACCAAGTGCGCCTGCGTAGGGGGCGCCGGCGACAATGTACGTGTCCAGGTCCAGGCTCTCGTCAAAGACGGACGTGTACTGCTGCGTCTTGCGGAACCAGCGCTCGCCGACACGCTCCCACTCGGCCTTTGCGTGCAGCGTGTCCATTTTCCAGGGCGCTATCTCATTATGGGATTTGGGAAAAGGTGATGTATCGTTCCGTTGTCCCGCGGGCGCCGGCTTGTTTGTTGACTCTGGAGTGACGAGTGTGACGATGGCGGTTGAAGTTCCAGAGCTTCTAACGTTAGGGAGCTTGCAGGTGCGCCATTGCGGCACGGCTATTGTACGGCTAACCAGAGCGCTGGCTGTCACTGTTGCAGGCCACTGTACCACTGTACCACTGTAACGAACCTCAGCGGACAGAATACCCCACCACAGCTTTCCAGCACACTCCAGCAGCTGTAATGAGGGGCAATCTCCCCATCATGAAACCCAGCTCCCTTTCTTGACATGACACGCAGCCGCCGCCGATAAAAATTATCCAAAATGCCAAACTGGAGGGAGGAGTACCTCATATCCCTCCGGGATTCCGAGATGAACACCCCGGTGAATATGGAGCTGGTACAGACGTGTACGAGACATCATCCGAGCGACAAACCCCCATCATGAGAAACTACATATACTGATGCTCTGCGGGGGATGTCAGGTTCGCAAATGGCGGATCGAATATCCGCCTTGGAAGCCGAGCGCTCCTCCCTAGAAGCCCAGCTCGCATCCTCCGGCAAGCCACCCCAGAAGAACGCGGCTGGCGGCGCCGCGAACAGCACCGCCGACACGGGGGAGACGGCGCAGCTGCGGCACGACCTGGCCGAGGCGCTGCGCTCCAAGGGCACGACCGAGACGCGCCTGCGCGCCGCCGAGGAGGAGCTCGCCAAGCTGCGGTCCAAGACCAAGGAGGACGCGCGGTCTGTCCGCAGCCTGACGGCGGACCGGACGGCGCTCACGACGAGGCTCAAGGACCGCGAGTTCGAGCTGCGCGAGAAGCGCAAGCTTGTCGAGGTAACTACAGCGGTGCTGACTTTTTGGGGGTCTGTGCGTGTTCTAATCGTTGGGCTTTTCTTAGCAAGTACAAGACGAAATGATTACGCTCAACCTCCAAGTCTCCGTCGCGGAAAAGGAGAGAGACAAGGTGAAGAAGGAAAACAAGGAGCTTGTCGACCGCTGGATGAAGCGCATGGCGCAAGAAGCTGACGCCATGAATCTCGCCAACGAGCCTGGCTCAAGATGATTCGTCCTCTCTTGTTATCCAAGCTACGACCTGCACATTATCACGATTACGAACACACGTCCCAGCACACACGACAAACATCAGTTTCCAAGGTGAATGAGGAGTTTTTATTTGTATGCAGTCCCGCTACCACAAAAAAGTTCCATCCTTTAAAAGCACAAGAACCCCGGCGCGCCTTTCCTACCTACCAGAACACAGCAAAAAACAAACATCAAACATCAACAGACGAGCCGGAGCAGTCTACTTTCGCGTGGAAATGTAATATGGCCCCCCGGCATTCGTCCAGCTGACGAACCCCTCGGGGTAGGCACACTCCTCCACGTCTAATATCGTGCTGCCGACGTCGTTGATGTTGTGGCTGTGGCCGTCCGTCACAAACGACCGCAACGAAATAATCTTGCACCCGCTCTTGAGGTCCAGAAACATGCGCACCAGGTCGTCGTTGAGCTGCGACGTAAACGCTTTATTGTTTACGAGCACCACATCGGCCCGCTTTAGGGCGTCGTGGATGACGGCGTTCTTTCGAAAGTCGCCCCTTTCGAGGTGCGTCCGGCCGGGGAGAATACCCCACAGCTTGCACCGCGACTTGAACTCGCGGTTCTGGTCGTCGGCCAGCTTGCAGGCGTTTTCCATCATCTCGCAGCCTATACTCTCGCAGCCAACCTCGAGGGCCGCTTGCAACACCACGTTACCGACGCCGGACCCCAGGTCAACAAAAACCTGGTCTGAGCGCATCTTGAGCTGCTCAACCAACAGCTTGGTGATAAAGGGGTGCAGCAGCTCGCCGTATACATAGTCGGTACCGTTCTCGTACTTGGAGAGGAGCTCGACGTGAGGAGCGACTGTTCGGTCGTATATTTGGTCGAGGATGAAGGCAACGAGGTGGGCGGGTAGTTCGCGTAATTTGTCAATGTTCTTGGCAACGATGCCGTCCTCGACGAGGTTTTGGATGATCTGGTTGTACTCGTGGATGGCGGCTTTGAAACCTGCCAAGTCCTGGATATTTCTGTTGGAAGCCTTTTCGAGTCGTCGAATAAGCCCGCCGTTTTGGTTGGTAAAGGGCTCGGCCTCTTCTTCGGTGAGGTATGTCTCGGCGACAAGTTGCACGATACGGATGCTAGCCTGTACCGCGTCAATCTTATCTTTGCCCCATACTAGTTCGAATCTACAGAGTTGAGTTGTCAGTCAAGAATGGATAGAGGAATACCAGACAGGCTGTAGGCGGCCAAGCCGGGTGGCAACATACCTTTCCCTCGGTTGAGGGCTCGGATATTGTATCTCTATTGCAACATCCTCTTTTTGAGCCCCCATGACCGGGACGCACTTGGTCTCTAACGAGGCAACGTGGACAGCGTGAACGAACTTGAGACCGGCCTCGGGCTCCTCGTAGGCATCAATATCGCGGATCTGGCGGTTGGGGTCGACCAGGTCCTGCTCCTGACCCTTGCGCGGGCGCTTGCGGGTGTCGAGGCTCATCCAGCCATCGTCCTCGTTGTCGCTGTCCTTGTCAAAGGTGACGCGCTCAGCAACGGGGGATTTGCGGACCGGGGTGGTGGCGGCCTTGCGCTTGCGTTCGAGACGGCGCTCGTCTGACGATGACGACGGGTACGGTGAATGGCTCTTTTGCCGGGGCGTGGCGGGTTTGGGCGAGGATCGGTGAACGGACGGGGAGCGCGACGACGAGGACGAGGCCTTGGAGAGGGCGGCTTGCGGCCTGGGTTTGGGCTTGGGCGCGGGCCGCTCGACTGTGACCTTTTCGATGCGGATCTTGGGCGGGTCGACCTTGAACTTGTTGCCTTTGCCGCCGAGGAGAGGCATGGTGACGGATGGTGACGGATGGTAGGAGTCGGCACTGGTGCGCCCGGCGCGGTGGCGAATTTTGGGGCACGGATTGGATGTGCGCCCTAATGCGCTTCAACGTCGACGGGCTATGTTGTTGTTGTGCGGTGGAGGGACGGGTAGCGAGGGCGCGTCTAACGGCGACGATGCGTTGGTGGCGAGGTGATGGTCTTGGTCGGTGCGGTCGCAGGTTGGTGGTCACAAGACTGGAGGGACCGGTTCTCGGACCCAACAACAGTAAAGTAAGTATGGGTACAAAAAGCAAGGGAAAATGAATGTTGAGAAGAAAATGCAAAGAGCAAATGAAGATAGAATGCGGAATAAAGAACAGATGTGCAAAGATGCGATGTGAAGAGGATGAAGAAGCGACGAAAATTATCCAAGTTTTTTAGAGCAGTGGTACCAATAGTCGAGTGTAGGACGGGGAAGTGTGGGTTGGTGACTTGGGGGTCGCAGGAGAAGACAGCAGACCAAGACAAGTGACGTGGGGTTTCTTATTCTTTTTCTTGTCACTCGGCCTGCGCTCTGTTGCCTGATTCCTTCAAGAGCCAGGCAGAGACTGGGAGGGAGCTCTTGCCTGCCTGCCTGCCTTGGAGTTTCCCGCCTAACTGCTAATAACTAGGCAGTTACTCCGTACTAACCAACGTTACTAGTTAATAATAACGTGCTCTTCCGTCTTCTGTTCTGCCCTCTTTGGGCTTTGGGCTGTTTGTTTCCCGAGGGCTCCACTTACCCTGCACAAACCCTTGGGCCCATTTTTTTCGACATCCACGCCATCGGCCGACTTCTTGTTCGTCTCTCTCGTTTCCCACTCGCGAACGATCCTTTTCCTGGTGATACGGGCATGGTAATACAGGAAATCGCGTCAAGTGTGATATCGAAAGCCAGTGGCGTCTTGGCCCTGTATGCCGGGGAATGGCGGAGGGTGGAAAAGTCGCGGGGGGGGGGCACAAAGGATAGATGCATCATGCGGCTGGAGTGCAGTTAAATCGCCACCAATGATTGCCCACCTGGGGAGACATGCAATAGGTGACGTGACGTAAAAAGCAAATACCTAGTCAGTGATTTTTTGTTCAAGTACTTGAGTACCAATGAATAACGTTATTTTTAGCTCCTTTTAGCTCTAATTCAGATATGCTTGTTCTGATGACCCGTTGACGTATTCACCCCTCTCCTGCCCAGACCCCACCACCCGTGACTGTGTACCTATGCCTAACCTGCTTGCCTGCCTCGCCTGCCCAACGCAATCTCTGCATCTCGCTCAATCAATGATCTCGCGGCTGCTGCAATGCCGCTTGCTTGCCTTGGCCTTTTTCGAGCGCCAGAACCATAGCCTGCTCAGCCACGTAGGCCGATTCGCGGGCTCCCTACCCGGTGCTTGCGCAATGCGCGCGCAGTCAACGCACCCCTCCTCACCTCCTTGTGTCCGATCGGGCCATGCGCGACATTATAGCCAGGAGGAACAGGTGGCGCCAACCAACTTGGAGGGGGTGGTGCCATCGCGGCCGCTTGCGATGAGGACGGCTCTTGGCCACGACGATACCTCGGCCGCGAAGGCATAGACCACGGCCATGGTCCAGGGAGAGCAGAAAGAGCCAGGAAATCTCACCAGCTACTGCTAGCTGGAGGACACTATATGCCGTGGACTCTCTTATTGTACCGCACCCGCCACACCCATTCCGCGACAACGTCTCGAGAGGAGGCGGCGATTTGATGCCGACTGAGCGTTCACGAACCGTGGTACCTTCTTCAATATTGGCCACGTAATAGTCGTGGGTGGTATTCGCTAGCGGAGATCTATGCCACCCTTCGAGGCAGGCAGAATCAAGATGGCACACTGGGCTGCACAATCTCCATCGTGCTATCGCTCTGGAGGGGAGACTGCGTAAGAAGGTGAGATGGAAATGTGAGATGGCGATACAAGAGTGGCCAACAAAAAGTCAACTTGATACGCCAGCACACAGAAATGGCGTGGCCATTTCATTCCATTAGTTACAACTATTGACTTGGGCAGCAAGGCTCCGGGGTAATACTGCATCTGCGAGTCTCGGCCACGCCTAATGCAGCGCTCATTGTGCGCCACCACTTCATGGCGCCAACTGCCTGATGTGGGCAACTAACACCCTCGGAAAAGTCGTAGGTGCTGCGGCTGCTGCCATCTTTTACGGTCCACCTTGATGCTACGGCGGTATGATGTGAAACCACATCACACGAAGCAAGTCGAAACAAAGAAAGAGATTCAATTTTAAGCAAGTGAGCAGCCAATTGCAAAAGAAGAAAAGTGCTAGTTTACTGCCAAATGCTATTCCAGGCCCATACCCACACATATCTTGACCCAACGCCACCTCGAAAGATGCCCAACCGAACCGACCTCGCCTCTTCTCAGCCGGCTCCGTCTACACCGCACTCTCCCCACGTCAGGTTCTCTTGGACCTGCCAACACGCCAAAACCCTAGCCTCGTACCACAGCCGGACTTTTTAGACTTGCGACCCCGCGCGGGAGGCTCAGGCCGGCTGGTGTCGTGCATTCTGAGGGGATTGGGGCGGGGCGGCCGCGGGGCCGTGTTGTGATTCTCCGGAGGAGGGATCCCGGAAGTTGGAGCACTGATGGGATCCGGATCACTTCTTTGACGACCATGGTCATTGGCGACATGCCGAGGGATGTTATAGTGGCGTACTTGTTCGGGACCGACGCTGTCATCGCTCACATTCACCGGAGAGATACCAAAGTCAAACTCTCCCACCTGCGAGATTGTTTGGTTGGATGGGTCATTTTGGCCGCCGTTGCTTCGACTGCGCCCTGAGGCATGTTTCGTCGTTGGGTAAGAATCAGCATTTTGCGGGCTGTTTTCAAGCGGCGGCGGCGCCTGCTTCGTGTTGTCGGTGAATTGGACCTGAGGAGGGTTGCTTTGTCGGTTCACAGACGCCGATGCGCGGTTCACGTTCTGGTTAGAGGCAGCCCCCAAGGCGCTGCTTTCCTTGTGTGCTACCGGATGACTGGTGTTTAGGCGGGATGGAAACGTGGGACGGTTGCCTTGGTGCGGCGTCGATGCCTGGTCCATAGTTGGGCTGGAAGCGGCTCTCAGGTGGCTGTGGCAGTTGGTTGTGCCTCTCAAGGGGTGATTTTCATTGTACGAGGCTTTCTGGGGGCGGTTCCGATTGAGATCGGCTCTGGGGGGGTAGTACCGATCCGGCGTCTCCGCTCGATCCCTCTCTCGATGAGATGGTTGATGGGCAGGGGATCCTCGGCCGATGCCGCTGTACGAGTTTCGACGGGCTGCATAGTCGGGCCTGGCTGCCTCTTTTCTGTTGTCATCATTATGTACAGCGCCCCCGACATTGCTACGAGAATCATCATCTGTCGTGGGGTTCCGACGACGGTGCACGTCTCCGCCGCTGCCATCAAAGTGATCGCCTCTTAGTAGGCTCGGTGGGGAGCGGCCCTGGGCTGCCACCCGGTCAGCATCTTCGCCGTTGGCAGGAGGAGGAAGTTCGTCGAAAAATATGCTCATCGGGGAACGGACCTTGGCTGTTGGCCGTGCAGGTCCCTCGCCGTTGGTGTACCGAGCATCGCCATGGACCAAGTCGCTCAGCGGAGAATGGAATTGGGCTGACGCCCGGGCAGCGCCTCTGTCGTTGCTGCGAGGGACATTGTATGGCCTGCGTGACGTGGCACGGGCTCGGGGAGCTTCTCGGGCGGCGCCGTTCTGGGAAGCGCTGTAGAAAAAGGTATCCTGAGCGTCCCGGTCTTCTTCCCGGGCCGACGTGGTGGAATAGAGGGGCTCCTCAGAACCGGCGCTGTCAAACAGTCTCCGGACTCGCTTTTCCGCCTCAATCGTGACGCACCACGCAAACGCGTATCCGGAATTTTTGGACAAGACGTCAAACGTCGGATGTATCCCGAAGAGGCCGGCGACGAACGCCAGCTTCTGCACCGCCGCGAGCATGCAATCGTTGCACTCATCGTCGGCCGCGGCCTCCCCGCTGCCGGGCTGTTGTTCTTGTTGCTGCTGCTGCTGCTTCTTCTTCTTCTTCTTCCCGCCACCGCGCGTGCACCGCAGCGGCGGCATGACTGGCGCGACGCTGTCGGCCGCGCGCATCAGGTGGGCCACGGTGACGTCGGGCGCCAGCGTACCCGCCATTTCGCGAATGTAGGACTCACTGATCGGCTCAATGTCGTTGAGCGCGCCGCTGTACGAGCGCGCGCGCCAGAGGCGCCACACCAGGCCGTTCCAGGAAAAGGTCTCGGACGGCGGCGGCGATGTGATGCCGCCAATTTCGCGCTCGATGGCGGCCAGCCGTCGCTCGAGGGTGGGCAGCGCAAAGTGATGCGCGTCGTTGGGAAAGGGCAGCCCTAAGACACCCTCCATGTGCGCGAGGGCTGCCGCGCAGCGTATTTTGCAGTCCATGTTTGCGTAATGAGAAGCTTGGAGGTGTGACTGGATGAATTGCTTCGGAAAGGAGGGAAGCAGGTTTGGAAACGACGCCTCTATTTGTACTGACGTTGGACTCGAGCCAACCCAGCCTTGCTGTCAGCTTCCCTCGCAGCCTTTGCCTTTGTGTGTACTCCGCTTCAGAATTAGACGCCTTGCGTCACGGCTGCCGGCATCTGACTAGGCAAGGAACAAAAGGTGGAAGAGTGACTACAGCGAGTGTCACTCCTAGTAGTCGGCATTCTCTCTTTGGGCTGGTGTCACTTCTAGTTGGGCGTCGCGCTGTCTCTTTGGCTGGTATGACTCTTTACAGTTTTCTCTTTGGCTTTTGTCACTCCCAACAGTTGGAGCGCTCTCCTTGAAAACCGTGCAATGACAAGTGTCACAAGGCGCTCGGCACGCCGCCTACCCATAGCTTGCGGCTAGTCACAGAAGACAAAAACAAAGTTCCCGATTTATCAACCTTTTTTTGAATGTTGCATTTTCCTGTGTCACCGCGAAAAAAAAAAAAAAGAGGCTGCAGAGGCGGGACATGCAAAAGGCGTCGCGCCTCATCCCCCGCCCGCCGCCATCGCCCGTTGTCGTCCGCCCATCTAAGGTTTATCCAATGTCTATCTCTTGAGCGTCTTTTGCTTCTCTGCATCCGTCGCCACGTTGCGTCCCTCGACCAGCAGACCCTTTTTCCTGCGCACGGCATCCATGTAGCGCTTGGCCACGTTTTCCTTGTCCGCCAGCTCGCCCAGGTCCTCGAGGTCGTCGTCGGTAAAGGGCACCCAGAACGGGTCCTCGTCGAGGATCTCAAAGCCGGCAAAGATGAGCTGCGGCTGCGCGGCGCCGCTGGTGCGCTTGCGCATCTCGTCGGCCAGGCCAAAGCTCTCGGCGACGGGCAGCAGCGCCTGGATGGTGAAGAAGGGGGTGCCCTCCTTCATCGTCTCCGAGACGACGCGGCCGCGGCGTCGGGTGAGCACGTCGTACACACGGCCCAGCACGTCCGTCGACGCCTGGATCTCCACACTGTACATGGCCAGCAGGAGCCGCGGCGACCAGTCCAGGAAACCGACGCGCACGCCGGACTGGAAGGCTTTGATGACTTCGCCCGTGAGGCGGCCCAGCTTGTCCCGCGCCGGCGTGTCGTCTTGGGCAAGGTTCAGGGTGACGTCCTCCACAATGACGGCAACACCCTGGATGGGCTCGCTGCAGAGCGGCCCCTGCGCAAGGAAGAGTTGGTACGCGTAGGTAATTTTGTCGGCCAAGTGGCTAGGTAGCGAGGCTTCGTCGACAGCTGGAGGCGCGTCTTTGGAGTCTACCGGCGCAAATACGCGAGGCAAGACACTATCCTTGGTAGCGTCAATAAGCAAGTTGGGACCCGTCCGTCTAGGCCCGAATCCAGCAATGCGATCGACGACATTCCTCCAGACATCGCGTCCCTTGCCTGTTTCTAGTTCGTTTTGGAGCTGCTTCTTGAGTTCATCCGCAGACAACAACGTGTGTGACGTGATGGTGGGGTCAACGGCGATGGATTCTGCAGTGCTCTCAACGTCATCTCCAGTATTCAGTTGCCAACGCTCATTGTACACCTTCTTGATCGAGTCGCCATTCTTCTTGAGGAAATCAGTGACGTTTTCAGGCAGAGGGCGCACGCGAATGGACAAGGTGACCTGCTTGGAGCTGGTATCCGTCACGACGACACCGCGACCGAGCTCCTTGTTCACAGGCGGCTTCATCTCGTCCGCGCGAACAATAGTCTCCCGATACGGTACGATGGGGGCGCCGGCTTGAATCTCGCAGCGTGCGAAGCGTTCCTTCAGATCTGTCAAGCAGCGCTCGAGGTGAAGTTCGCCGGCAGTAAGAAGGACGTGCTCTCCGCTGTCAAACTGTTCATATTCGGCACACGGGTCACTCTGGACGAGCAGGCGCAGGCCCTCAATCATCTTGTCCAGGTCGCCGGGGTTGACGGGTTCCAAAGCCACACGCACAATGGGCTGGCCAGCCATACTGACGCCAGCAAGGTTGACCGCGCCATCAAGCTTGCTGCAAAGAGTTCCAGATTTGAGTATCTTGCCTTCAAGACCAGCGATGCCAAAGACCACGCCGGCAGGAACAGATGTCAGAGCCTCCAAGCTTCTGCCCATGAGCATGTACAAGCCCTTGACTTCGATTTCTTGAGGCTTCGGCTCGACGTTGGGCTCAGCCGGGGACCACTTTGGTGGCACAACAAATAGCTTGTCGCCGACAGAGATGGTACCCGAGTAGATCCGGGCGAATCCAATGAGGTGCTCGGGATCATTTTCCCTCTCCTCGGCATCAGGCGCGTGTTCGTCGAGACTGGCGTCTCCAAGCGCCCGGGTCAGAGAATCAAGTCCGCTTCCGTTTGCTTCCAAAGCGGCCTGGGCTCGTGCGGCTTCGGCTCGCTTCTTTCTCGCCAGGTCTCGCGCCTCCTCACCGGTCATCTGTCCAGGCTTGCGCTTGTTCTCGGGAAGCTCGCTCTCGGGCATTGAAACCATTTTGCTGACGTATGCCACTACAGGGTCGGACTTTCCGTGCTTGAATGTCGTCATTGCATCGCGAATCGTGGGATCGATGCTTGCGGCGCCCGGGGAGCTGTCCAAGACCGCAGGAATACGTTCTCGTTGCGCGGTGGGCGGTGACGGTAACGATTCAATGACGGAAACTAAAAGTGCGGTGGAAAGTGGTAACCAAGAGGCAAAGACAGTCGTAAGAAGAAGTCGAGGGTCGCGAGCTCTGAGGACGTGCGGTGGGATGCTGATGTTGAGAGACTTGATGACCTTTTCTAAAAGTGATGGGTCGCCTTTGCCATGGTCACCGCCAGTAGTAGCCTGATACACGGTCCAGACAGGCTCGAGAACCAGCTGTACAAACATGGGCTTGAGGTTGCGGCCTTTGAGATGCTTTGGTCCCAGTATCTTTTTCGTCTTGGGATCCAAATAGAAATTTCCCCAGAGAACCTTTTCAAGAGTACCACGCTTGATGCCGAGCTTGTTTTCGTAGAGACTGGCAAACTGGCGACAGGTAAACGCCCAACCGTCTGTAGCTGTGCTGAAAATGACGTTGTTCTTCTCTGGCGCAAAGTAAATGTCCTCATCGTCCTTTTCTTCAAACTCCAGATCGATAGAGTCGGTGTTGTCGTCATTGTTGGAAGCTTTGGCGGCAGCGGCAGCGTTAACACGCTCTTCCATCTTTTCTCTCCAGTTGAGATCCTCCTCCATTCGTTCACCCTGGAAGAAGCTACCGAGAACCGCATTTACCTGCTCCAAGAGTTTGTTGAGATGAAGAAAAGCCTCGTTTGGCGTCATTTTTAGCTCGGTCACTAATCGGTCCATCTTGTTTATGACCAGAAGCGGCTTCAGCTTTTCCATCCATGCTTGGCGGAGAACAGTGACTGTCTGACTGCAAACTCCCTCTACTGCGTCAACAAGAATGACTGCGCCGTCGCAAAGGCGCGATGCTGTGGATACTTCACTGCTGAAGTCGATGTGGCCAGGAGAGTCGATGAGGTTGATGAGGTATTCTTTGGGCTCCGGTGTAGCGTCTGGCGCTGATCTCCGGAGCATGGAAAAGTATAACGAAATGGCGGAAGATTCCATAGTGATGCCTCTTGACTGCTCATCGGGTCTGGAATCCAGGTATCTAATTTTACCGGCAAGCTTTGGTGAGATGATGCCGTTTGTCGCCAAGAGGGCGTCTGTGAGAGAAGTTTTGCCATGATCAACATGGGCTAGGATGCATATCTGAGAGAACGTGAGCTTATGGTCTATTTTCTGTCACGGCTGCTACTGACATTGCGAATATCTTCAGACTGCTGTTGCAGGCCTGCAAGCTTTTCAGGTGTGACAACAGGCATAACGACGGCTTATGGCGCGAACAAGGTGAGTGGGAAAATATGCGAAACCGCTAAACAAAGAATGGTTCAAATGAGAGTCAAGAAGTTTGGAAATGGTCGCTTAGATATACGAGCCAAGCCTTGTCCAGAAGTGAAAACTGTAAATGGTTACCTTTAAGCTAGCTGCAGGCGCGCGGTCCAAGAGTTTGTCATCCGTCGATGACTCTTTATTAAACTTCCCCACCAGAAAGCCCAAATAACCACCCACCACAAATCACAGGAAAGCTTCCGAGTGTCTGACTGTTGCTAAGGGAGCTAGCACAATTCGTCAGAATGATGGATGCAGAAAAAGTTCTCGTTTGGGAAAAGTTATACAAGTCAACTTGCTCCAATGTACTGTCACAGACTCTCGCCCCGCTTCAACGTTTGAGGCGCCCCACCAACATGGCGCTCGATATACGCATTAGATATGCAACTAGGCATCTTAGTTATGGGGGCTAAGCAAATATTCGCACCACAAGCCCTAACAAGGCACGAAATTTCGCGGCCAAAGATCGCGGGCCCCTCTCACGAAGCGCAAAATTTCGATTGCGTGCCCCTCATCCGTCCCGCGAATCCCACGGCTCGACTCGACAGCTCGACGCAGACGACCACGACGAGCGCTCTGCGAACCCTTTATCCCTGTCAACTGCCCAGCATGGCTACCTACAAAGCCGCGCCCCCACGCGCGATTGACGTCGACAGTGACGTCGAGGAGGAGTCCCTCGTCAACGACTACCGCGAGCAGGTCCAGTACGAGGACGGCGAGGAGCTCAGCCAGACCAACAGCGTCCCCCAGACCGACGACATCCAGGCTCGCCTCGTCCAGGCGGCCCAACCCCTCGACTTTTCCGCGCCGCTCGAGGTCAAGTTCCAGAGCTACGACTCATACTGCAGCTTGTTCCACTTCATCCTCAATTCGGACGGTCCCGTCGATCTCGAGCCCCCTTCGGTTCGTACCCCAGTCACAGAACCCGAGGGCTGCTGTCGGAGTTTTCAGACAAAAACTAACACGCTACTAGTACTACTGGGCTTGGGACGTGATTGACGAGTTCATCTACCAGTTCAACACATTTTCCTCGTACAGGCTGCGACTGGCCCGTCAGGCCAACAACGACGAGGAGCTCCAAATCCTCAAGGAGAACCCCAACACCTGGGGTTGCTACAGCGTCCTCAACGTCCTGTACTCCTTGATCCAACGGTCCCAGATCACCGAGCAGCTGGCCGCCATGAAGCGTAACGAGGATCCCATGGCCGTTGCTGGCGAGTACGGCTCCAAGAACCTGTACCGCATGCTCGGCTACTTCTCCATCATTGGTCTCCTGCGCGTCCACTGCCTGATGGGCGACTTCGGGCTGGCCCTCAAGACGCTCGACGACATTGAGCTCAACAAAAAGGCCATGTTTGCCCGCGTCATGGCCGCCCACTTCACCACTTACTACTACGTCGGCTTCTCGTACATGATGATGCACCGCTACGCCGATGCCATCCGCATGTTCAGCCACATCCTTATTTACGTGTCGCGGACCAAGAACTTCCAGAAGAACGCGCAGTACGACTCCATCACCAAGAAGAACGAGCAAATGTACGCGCTCATCGCCATCTGCGTCGCCTTCCACCCCACCCGCCTGGACGATACCATCCACAGCGCTCTCCGCGAAAAGTACGGCGACCAGCTGCTCAAGCTGCAGCGCGGTGGCCCCGAGTCCCTCCCCATCTTTGAAGAGCTTTTCCGCGCCGCCTGCCCCAAGTTCATCTCCCCCGTCGTCCCCGACTTTGAGAACCCCGAGGCCAACCTGGACCCCGTCGAGCACCACCTCGCCGTCTTCATGGACGAGGTCAAGACCAACATGTGGAGCCCCACCATCAAGTCGTACCTCCGTCTGTACACCACCATGGACCTCCACAAGCTCGCCGGCTTCCTCGAGGTCACGCCCGACGAGCTCCGCTCGTGGCTCATGGTCACCAAGCAGCGCACCAAGCAGCTGCGCTGGCAAGACCAGGGCCTGCTCGACGGCGAGCTCGTCAACGTCAGCGATCTCGACTACGCTCTGCAGGGAGACCTCATTCACATTTCCGAGGCCAAGGTCGGCCGTAAGCTTGTAGACTGGTACCTCCGCAACCTGTCCCGCACCTATAACTAAGGCCTGCATACATGGGTAGCCAAGCTGGAACCAGATTTACATTTTGAGCGACAAAACTTTCTTCCCGTCTTTGCAGACATTCTACACGAGACCCTCGGATGTATACATCCAACGCAGGCGGATTCACCTCGTCAAAGGGTTAGGAGCCTGGATCACAGTTCAGTGGATGTGGGGGTCACAAGTCGACTGGGGCTGCATGGCACTGGCGTCACGGAGTTGAGGCCTGAATTTTCTGTCCTTTTTAATATTGCGAACCGGAGCAGGTGATGGAGAAAAGAAGAAAACTGCGCATAGAGCTGAAAAGAAACGGGTTATGATGTACAGACGGACAGGAAAGAAAATGGGAGGATGCTGGGGCATTTTCCCCTGCCGACATTGATGATTACGTACAATGCTAGAATTTAGGCGTTTCCGAATACTACAAAAAAAGGGATTAAATTTACAAATGGTTTCCGCATTGTGACTGTTTCCGCGCGGGGTAGGTGAGCACAGTCTTGCGGAAGATGCAGCGCTCGGCGCGGAAATGGCAATGATAGGCGACACAAGGCAGGATGCTTACTCGGTTCCCGAGACCAGGGCTTGCCCAGGAATTGCCTCGATGCATGTTCAGTGGTTTTGGGTTTGCCAAGCGCCGCAAAGCTGGAGACTTGATGTCGCCAAACCCCACGCAGACGACCCCTCCTCCGGCGGGAGAGCGGCCGTCGATGTGACATGCCATATCGGGGAGGTGCAGTCGGGAAGAGCAGAGCGCTGATTCAACGAACCAGAGCCTTTGTGCCGCAGTAGTACAGCAAATGGAAATGCCGATGATTGCATTCGTCTCAGTCAACTTTTCTGGCCAGCTCACACCGCATGTTATCGCCAAGTCCTGCATGTACATGAAGGCGTGGTGTGCGCGCCTTCGTCGCCGCGGCGCGCACATCTATTACTACTACCGGTGCCCGAGATGTCAAAAAAAGCCAAACCAGATAAACAGCCGGGGCTGGCCCCCAAACTTGCAGGCGAAGGGTGTGGTGTGAGGCTCCGACGGATGGATGCGTGGGGAGGGAACAAGGATGAAGCCGGCTTGTTGTTGCTAATTCGTACAGCGCCATGTACTCGACTGGTAAGCCCTGAGCGTAGCGAGTACATCGCAGGGCGAGGGGTTGGTCAGCTGCGGGCGCCGGCGATGCTTGGCAGGCCAGTGCATCACCTTCGGAAACACGTTTCCTTTGAAGGAGGGGAACCTATTTAGCTGATGGGGCTGGCCCAGAAGGCTCGAACGGCCGGCTTGATAATGCGCCCATCCGAGAGGAAGAGTTCACGAACTTGCCAAAAGTCTGGCGTGCGTAATTTGTAGTACAGGCTGTATTGGCTGTATTGGGTTCATGACAACGTTGTGTAGATCCGGCGTACGCATTTGTTTTGTAGAATATAGTAGGCCTAGGACTTTGTTAGAATGATTATTAAAATAGCGTTTCTGACGGAGCTTTTCATATGCACCTCCGCAGTTGTCAGCTGTACGTGATAATTACCCAATATCCGTAAAGTGGTGACTCAACGGCACAGGGAACGTTGTGTGGTGGCAAAGCCGTTTTCCAATGTCGCACACACGGCGCGCTCGCACCCCCATGTCAATAGCGGTGACAGGGGGGCTGTAAGGCCTGGAACGCCACTGTTTCCTTTTTGCTTTGTATACTGTAGGCGGTGGCTGGCGGCTGGCAACAAGGTTAACCTCTCTTCTGTCTTTGGATGGCACCAAAAGCAGGGGGGGAGGGGGCGCTTTCTGGGGAGGGTGTGCTGGAATAACTAGGCTGTGATAAAGAAGCTTCCTACTGGTGCTTCAGCAACGCGGCGCTGCAGCTCCATTGTCCTCGATAGCGGCCAGTCAGCGCCGCCGACTCCTCCCGAGATGCAGATGAAATCATCTATGTCTAGGGATCCAAAAAATCCACTGCCATGTCGTAGCTCTTCTTGGTCATCTTTCCCCTCTCGCATCCCGGCTGGGAAAGCAAACACGGTGCAGGAGAAGAGGCCGCCGTCTTTTCAGCCAACGGGGCTTCGCCCGTCCCACGCCGCGTGACCGACAGTGCCAAGAGCCCGCCCGCGCCGCGCATTCTGTTTTGGCGGCGAGGCGGGCGATGCCAAGCGGTAAAAAAAAAGGGAGGATCGGCCAGCCAAACTGGTGGCAATCCATCTTTTCGTGTCGTGTGCTGTGCGCCGAGGCTGAGATGTGGAAGTCATGGCTGAGCCGGGCAGTTGTTCGATATGCATGCATTGCTTGCGCTGCCTGCTGCGGCAGGCCCGACAAGGCTGTCCCGAGAGGGTAAAATAATCCGTGTAATAGACGGCGGCAAATGCGATTCCTATACATACAACACAACTACAAGCACCATGATACGATGCAGAAGTGGATAACCATGATTATCAGCTTGCCATTGTTAGGGCCGACGGCAGACGCTCCGCCTTGTGGGAAAAAAACCATGTCTCGAGTACCTTTGATTAGTCCTGGGTCGCATCGCAGCCCAATGTTCTGATATTGCTCCCAATCGTACCAGGAGCACTGCACTGCCACTGGCGAGTCATCTGGTGTCAAGGCATGGGTGATTTTGATGAAGAGGGCACGGCCGCTAGTGGAATATGCTCTTGTGCTTTCTGTTCTTTCATTTTCTGTCGTGAATGGTTAGTTAAGCAGTCAGCAGGCTGCTCAGCTTTTTCAATGCCGTCATCGGCCAACATCCATCACCGCCCAGGATAGCGGCGAGCTAGAAAGAGGTTTAATTCGTTAGCGCGTGCATGTGCCGCAGTTGTTCTGCTTTGAAGTTGGCCTACGCACGAGTTCTCTCTGCTCTCATATGGGCTGCACAACTGCTCCCCGGGTTGAACAGCCCCCTGTAACCCTGCGCCGGGTAGCCAACGCGGAGCCGCGGTGGGCGTGCGCAGTGCACTAGCATGGATGAATGATGCTTATTGTTGAACTTGGTATGTGACTTGGTTGCACAGGACACCGGCCTAGAATCCCATTGTCGTGGACACTGGCGGGAAGAGGCGGGGCCTCGCCGGCCTGTTCTTATTTTGCTTGCCGTGCCCTCTTTGTCCAGGGAGAGAGGGAGCGGTGTTGCTTCACTGTTGCTTTTTCTTCATCAACCATCACAGTCGACGCCAACTCCAACATTGTTTGGTCTTTTGCCTACGCCTGTGAATCGTGTTCACAAGTGCGCCGTATACAATACTGAATCAGTCGCACTCACGACAGCGACGTGGCTGCAGCTGTGTCACCTGCGGTTCCGCCTCGCACAAACTTTCGACAGCCATCTCTTCGTGTTGGTTGAAAAGCCGCCGAATCTGGGGTCCGTCCACCTGCCAGGATCCCCGCCTAGTCGCCCATATTAGCACCAAGACAAAACAGACGGCCGGGAACGTACCACAGGGAAATCGGGAGATTGCCATAAGAGGAGCCCCTTTACCTGCGTCGCCGGAACTCGCCCATTTGAAGAAAAAGCACGAGACAGCCCACCGTCGCCATCTCGTCTTGATAACTACTACTGACAAAGAGACTGTGTGGTGAGAGGAAGAAGCTTGCAAACGCGACGTTATCAAACAAACACGCCAACTGGCAGATTTTCTACACTGCAAGCTGCCAGCTGCCAGCTGTCTTGCCAGGTAGGACACCAATTCACATCTGCTCCAGGCACACTACCTAAGGTGCTACCTAGGTACCTACCTATTCATTTACATGCTTATTTGGCCAATACAACCCTCTCCCTCTTTCGGCCTCCCCTCCTCCCTCAACTCGCATCATCCACAGCTAGCACTGCAACCTTGCTAGGGCCTCATACCGGCAGCCTGGATTGCCAGAAATCTGCGGATAAAAAGGAAGAAGAAGAAAAAGAAAAGAAAAAGAGCAACAAACAGAATCGCCTGAGCTTCTAGGCTCAAATAACTACTAGGTAGCCTTCTATCCTCGGCCCGCCTTGACAAGGGCATCCATCCCCTCCCCTACTCCGTCCGTACCTACGGGCTGCGCCTTGGCGACAGTGCCTCGTATGTTGATTGCCTGAGTCTTTCAGCTCTATTTCTCCGGTCCTTCGCCGAGCCCTCATCCTCTTTTTTTCTCTTTAAAACTACATTCGTACAGCACTTGCATTACATCTTATTTCCACTCCCCTGCAGAGCCGCGCCCGTAACATTTTATCGCTAACCGTTACACAGAAGGGGGCCCTGTCGTCAGAGACCTATCGAAGAGCCTCGCAGCGCCTCGTGGCCAATACCTTGTCGCCAGGTCGGCACGATTTTTTTGACCGACTCCTTTTATTTTATTTTCTATTTCCATCGGAATTCTTCATTTCTTTTTCTGGTGGAAAAAATTTCAGACGCCAACTGTCATCGCTCCCGCCTTGACAGATTAAATACTACCCTTGCCAGGGCCAGCCTCTGCTCCACGCGCTCCCGCCTGGACACCAACGACACCACTCGCCATCCCTGGGCTCATTCCTCCAAACTCGCCGCCGTCTCTTGCATTCGAACGCTACTATACTATTCAATCACGTCGCATATTTGCATTCTCGCCAACCCTTTTCCTCATTCATCTTGCTCCTCGCCACCTTACTGGCGACGTGCAGCTCCTGTCTGGGGAAGCTTCGCCTTATCTCTGTCTCACACGTCATCGCCACTCATTGTGACCTGAGCCCTGCTTCGCAGCATTCCCGTGTCTTGTTTGTTCATCTCAGACGGCCATTATACGAACCGGCTCTGCATTCACTACGCACGCACGGTCTGTGCCTTGGCGCTGTGCTTCCGTGGTCGGCAATTTTGTGCCGAAAAAGTCGCTGTCGGCAACGCCATCTGCAACATTGTCTCGAACAAGGCCCGACCCTTTGGCCCAGTTGGGGGCCTCGCCAAAGTTAGCATCGTGGGCCGAATTGACTTTAACTGACCCTGATCCTCTGCCTCGGAAACGCATCTGCATCTACCTTTCCTTTGCATTTCGCCGTGCGCATTCAACGAGCACCCGTATCCATGTGCGGCACCTTGACCAGCGAAACTAGCAACGTGACTCTATTCTCTTCGAAGCGTCCGCGCCCAGCCGCCAAGATGCTGAAGATGGTAACGCCGCAGGATATTCGCAGCCCCGGGCCTGACATGTCGCCCAGGGCGCGCATGCTGCCCGACTACTTCGCTGTCGGGCCACTCAAAACGGAGCTGGCTTCGATCCAGGAACAGGAGGCGCCGTCTTACCATCTGGACGGATCAGGCGACGGCCGCCGCGAGTCGACAATTTCGTTCCAGGATGAGCTGCCAACACGACGCAGCTCCAACGAGACGGATACCGGCCGCGTCGCTTCGTTGGGCAGAAAGCCATCCACATCTTCCGTCTCGTCTCGCCGCCCGCGGTATTCTGCGTCTTTGCATGGTCTGGAACTACAAGAGCACGCTGCGCGAATTCGTGCGAGCTCACCCCCTCCCGAAAGGTTCGTTGATTTTTTGTTTCTTTTTGTCGGAGCAGCATACCATCATGCTGTGCAAATTTTCCCTTTTCTTCTCCACAGTCACGTCCTTGACCCTGTTTCAATTTGCAATGAAAGCACGTCCTTTGCAGGTGCGCGTTGACCATCCACGGAAGTCCGGCACGGCGATCGCCGCGTTTCAGAAGGCTGAGACACTGGCAACGAAGCGCGAGTGCGCCAACGGTTCAAGCGAGATGGCGATGACAGAGTTGGTCGTTTAATGTTCATCTCGTGCATGATGTGAAGCTGGGTCGAAATAAGGGTGACGGGTAAGGGTGGAGAGCGTGGAGTGTATCCTGAGTCGCGGGTGCTTCAATGACCCAGGATGAACCCGCTCTGCACAGCCTGTTCATGACCTGCCTAGAGAGGCGTAATGCATTTTTGACTGGTTGCGTGCATCTGCAGGCGCACGATGATCTTGTGCACACACGTGGGGAGAGCCGCGCGACAGGCTTGGGACGACCGAGCGACAAGTGTCGCGACTTGATCGATTCTTTTCTCTCCGTCGGCGCAGTCAGTCGATTTCGCCACGCACCTCACTACAACACACTTGCGAAGCCGATTTTTCATTCTTCTGTTCTTTGGCCCAACTGCACGTCTCATGATGGCGGACCTGCACTACTGGCGGCGGCTTAAGCTTTGTTAGCCCCACGACTGCCCCCCAAAAATCTTTACTGTGGCGACGACACTGGCAGTGCCTGCGCTGGTCTGGTGCTAGTTTCGATTGCAGTTACCCCGCTGCTCAGGCTGTCGACGGCAGGTAGCCACTTCGCCTCGCTGTGCCCACATCACCGGGGCAGGAGTGCTGTCCTCTCCCGCCTGATTTCCTCTTATCCTCGTCATCTTCCAAAGCCAGCCACCCTCCCCATTACTTGATTGCTCGCCATACTTCAAATCCTATTTCTACCGGCTTTCATCGCCGCTGCGTTTGCGCGACATGTCATCGCTAACCGTGCCACCTCGGGACAGGTTCCAGCACCACGTCGGCTTCGATAATGTGCCCAATGGAGAAGCCACCAAACACAACACGACATCGCTGACCCTCAATGTGAGGCACAAGGGCTACCAGGCTAGACGACGGTCGCGCAGTTTCATGGTGGGCGTGGATGAGAACTCGTATTCCGATTATGCCATACAGTGGCTGCTAGACGAGCTGGTCGATGATGGCGATGAGATCGTGTGCGTGCGCGTTCTAGAGGGCCAAGTCCGTATGAACGATAAGCAATACCAGGAAGATGCGAAAAACGTTATGCAAGGGATTCTAGCCAAGAATGGAGCCAACCGGGCTGTCAGCGTCATACTCGAATACGCCGTCGGCAAGCTGCACGCGACCTTTCAAAAACTAGTGAGTTCCGATAGTCGGCACTTTCATGCCGGGACAGGTCACTAACAAGCTGCAGATTCAGATGTATCAGCCGGCCATGCTGATTGTCGGAACCCGAGGCCGATCACTGGGTGGGATTCAGGGACTCGTCAACAACCGAAACTCGTTCTCGAAATACTGTCTACAATACTCGCCTGTACCGGTCGTCGTTGTGCGACCCACGGAGAAGCGCATCAAGAAGAAAGTAAAGCGCGCCAACGACTCGAACCGGCAGACGTACTTGGGCATGCTCTCGGCGACGCTAGGGAAACACGAGGCCGACAGCGAAACCAGTAGCACATACGAGCTCGAGACGCAAATCTCGCCAGATGAAGAGGCTCACCAAGTGGCCAAGGTTCTTGGTCTCCCAGCGAAATTTGACCCGACTATCAAGCCCATCAACCCCAGCGACTACCTTCGAGCGCGGTCGCCAGCACCATCCTCGTCGAAGACTGGTGAAGAGCCCACGAGCCCGACACTGGGTGATGTTTCTCCTGGTAGTGCTATGAATAGTGAGGATGAGGAAGAGGAAGAAGATGCGGAATTTGACGTTGTGTCTGGTACACAAGCCCTCAACCAACAACAGAAGCTTGAACAACTACACAAGATGGAGGTCGGTGAAGCGCAGGCTCTCCGTCAAGGTGTGGACGTTGAAGACGAGGAGGATGATGGTTTGGCAGACAACAAGCCCTCTCCCTAGGATGGTGAGGTGGAGGGAAAGGAAAAGGAAATAGTTCCTGGGGAGTAAAGGCTGTTCCGGTCGCGGCCTTGTGTGGCGTTAACCCTCGATGGTTCATACTGCACGTACCAGAGGTATAGCGAACCGGCGCACCAAGCACGAAGAGTTGATGAAGAGCATGAAAATGCTTCAGCTGGGCTGGTTCACAACAATTACACTAGCATGGGGAAAGCAGCAACTGAAACGTTGAATCTGCGGCCTGTGACTACAAGTCGTTGCTTGGTGGTGTTGCATAATGACTGAAAGAGAGCGAATATGCGAAGCCGAGGACAGGGAGTCGATGTACCAATAGCACACCCACCAGCAAGTCGAAAGACGTTTTGTTTATACCAATTGATAACAAAGATATGTTAATACAGCACACGAGCTGTTTTGCTAGTTGAATACTATTTTGAATCTACCATGCACATCTGGGCAGTGGCGACTTCTAGTCTACGAGACGCCACGCCGGGCTGGCTTGAACACGAGAGAGTGGCTCACGCAGTCTAGCGACTACCTCGTATATAGGCATTAGTGAAGTCATGACTACGTATTTGACTGCATAAAATGGCATTGGCATTGATGAGAATGGGGGCCAAATGCAGCGCGACGAGGATTGCCGATCTAGCTAGCCGCATGCAAACAGAGTGAGACATGGTTTACCAAGCGGGTGATGAAATAAGCAGCCGCAGGTAGAGCCTAGCACTGTATTGATAGGGATTAAAAATAGAAGAGGAGACGAGAAGGATACATGGAGTTTTCGAGAGGAACAAGTTGATAATAATGAAGAAACATAGTAGAGTAAGAAAGATGATGGTATTTTTCCCCTCCCAAGTGCACGTTTGCTCGGCGATAGCTAGCGAAGGGAGGGGAAGCGGGACTATGTATCGCAAAGACTGGTGAAATGCAAAAAGGAATAATACACCATTGATTGATTGATGTGCAACGTAATGCAGTGAGCGGGGGATTGTTGAGCCGGTAGCTGACAGGTACTCCGTGCAGCGAGGCTGTTGGGGCTGTCGATCTCGTCACCCGTTTTCAGCCTCAAAGCAAAGCGCGCAAGCAAACAAGGTGATGGCCTATACGGTTCAGTCACACTGATCCGGATTTCGAGCCGCCTGCTTTCTCTTCTTGGGCAAAAAAACACGAGCCGCCATCCTAATATAGGCGGTGCCGTTTGCTACCCGCCCTTGCCCACCAGTATTGCCTCTGGCATTCCTGGCGTCGTCATTGGTTTCTACATTCGTTTCATCACCACCCAAGCCTTTTTTGTCTCCCTCTCGCCCCTTTTACTTTTTAATTTTTTTCTTTATTTGCTCTTATTTCTAATTTTTTTGCCGCAAAAAATAATAATATTTACCGTCCTGTGCAAGGCTCTTTGGAGTCTCAAACGCACATCACAGCTTCACAGGCGTGCCTTGTACGACAACGGTTAGCGAGAGCTTGCGCAAAGCAGCAAACGCGCCATCCATTTCGTCCCCCTCCGACGACCTCATCATCTCGCTCTCCTCCACCACTTCCAATAACAACTTTACCCTACGCCAAAAACCAACACAGCGAACCTGTCGATCGAGAAAAAAAACCACAGCCCCTACCATGTGGCCCTTTACCGGCTGCGGCGATGACGGCTGCCGCCCGCCGTCCGCTGCCTTCACCAGCCTGACCCCCGCGCACGCCGCCGCCG